GTGCTCAATACCTCTGATGGGTGGTAAACCTTGAGGATTCTCCTCTGGGAACACATCAGTATAATCCTGCAATAGAAACTTAATTTTGCTAGGAATGGCCTGCTCAGGATTAGTTATGCTCACGAGAGTCTCTTTAAAAACAAAGAGTAATTTAGATGAATGTAAATCACTTCCCTTTTGCTTACTCTCGGTTATCATGAGGTTAGGTGATTTTTCTTTCTGTTTCCTCCTCATTTTCATGCTCAACTGGTCAAGATATACCTCATGCGGAGTCATTGGAGCCAATATGGTTTTTTTGCCCTTGAACTCAAAGATTTGACGATTGGTGAAACCGTCATGCATTACTCTTCGGTCTGACTGCCATGGTCTTCCCAATAGAATGTGACTAGCGTCCATAGGCAGTATGTCACACAAAATTTCGTCCTCATACTTTCCAATAGACAATGGTACCTTCACTTGTCTGCTCACGCTCATTTCTCCATCCTCATTCAACCACTGCAGTTTGTATGGCTTCGGATGCTTCAGGACCTTTAAACCAAGTTTTTCCACCATGGTCTCACTGGCAACGTTGGTGCAGCTTCCTCCATCTATGATTAAACTACAGACCTTGTCATTGACAATACATCTTGAGTGAAACAGATTTTCTCTTTGCTCTTGCTCGTCTGTCTTAGCAATAACACTCAAAGTCTTCATGGCAACCAGCAGCTCTCCTTTAGATGGCGCTTCACAGTCTTCTGATGATGAGTTCTCTTCTTGCTGCTCATCCTCTGACTCTATCTCACCAGTATCTTTCAGTATCATGATTCTCTTGTTTGAGCACTCACTAGCGTAATGACCATGTCCGTGACACTTAAAGCACTTGATGTCTCTGGTTCTAGTCTCAACAGCTTTGCCCTTTCCTTTCTGATCTTGATCCTCAACCTTTGGCTTGACAAAGGGTTTGTAGTCTTTCTGAAATCCTGATCGCTCATCTCTTTGGTAGCTAGGCTTTCCTGAACCAAAGCTAGGCTTTCCTGAACCAAAGCTAGGCTTAGAGCTTCTTCTCTTAAGTTGTTTCTCGAACATGATGGCTTTGTGTAGCAGCTCTTCTAGCTCCACGTAGTGCTGAACTTCTACTCTGTTAATGATATCTCGGTTCAGACCTCCCATGAATCTAGACATTGTAGCTTCTTCATCTTCTTGAATATCTGCTCTCAACATCAATGTCTCCATCTCTTTGTAGTATTCTTCAACTGATCTACTTCCTTGGACTAGATTCCTCAATCTATTGTGTAGCTCTCTGTGGTAGTGACTGGGAACGAACCTCTTCCTCATTATAGTCTATATCTGAGTCCATGTCTCAATGGGATAATCTCCAGCACGTCTTCTTATGGTGACCAATTGATCCACCAACTCAATGCGTAGTTCTGGAACCCTGTTGGTGCTAATTTCACTTTACGCTCCTCTGTATAACCTTGACAACCGAATACTATCTCAATCTTCTTTTCCCATTCTAAGTACTCTTCAGGGTCACTGGTTCCCTGGAAAGAAGGAATCCGTATCTTCAAGCCAGCTAGGTCATCTCTGGGTGGAGCTCTTTCTTCTCTGTGATGTCTTCTCCTTCTATGGCTGTTACGAGTAGAGGTTTGGCTGTAATAGTTGTGTGCCGCCTCTTGATCAGAAGGATTTCTAGTATCTCTGTTCTGTCTGCCCTGGGTTGATCTCTCATTAGCTTCAAACCTTTCGTCCATCATTTTTGCCATGTTAGCAGTAAGAGTAGCTGTGAGAGTTGCTGTAAGAGCTTCCAGCAACAACTTGTTGTTCTGTACCTGACTGCTTTCTTCCTTGTCCTTATCAGACATGTCTGCAATGATCGAAACAAAGAAAACCAGTAAAGTGTTCCTTGTAAATCGAGCAACAAACAATAGAGTCTGAAAATTCAAAACCCTAAATAGCTTCTATTGAACCCTAATCGAGCAAGCATGGAAGACGAATCGTTTTGTTCCTAATTACTAGATCGAGTACGTAATTAAATAGTTCAGAACGTGATCTAAACGATTTAACAAGTTTCATACAGGTCGGATAAGTATTCAAGCCTAGAACGATGAAACAATTTCGCAAGAACAAAACAGAAGATGAACAGTTTAGATTGATACAACCTGACACGAAGTAGCTCTGATACCACTTAATATGATCTTGGTCGAAGATCTATGTCCCTTGAATACACTTCGTGAGGTTGAACGAAAACAGTTTGCGGATTGACTGTTTTAGAGAGGTGGAGATCGAGTAGGCGATCTGGTGGACGTGTTCGAGTGGTCTAGTGAGTGTACTCGAGTAGTCTGGTGAGTGTACTCGAGTAGGTCTGTTCGAGTGGATCTGGTGGAGTGAAACGAGTGAGATCGAGTGGTGAAGAAGATGAGGGGTCGAATAGAACTTCCAAAGGCTGCGGGATTCCTTTGAACTTCCAGGCTTGATTCTGCTTGGATATGACACACCAAGAGCAGTTTCAAGATGAGATCGTGATATTACACACACAAACTCAAGATCAAACGAATTCAGAAAGAGTTTTTGATAAGAAAATGTTTGATGATGTTTACAATGGAGGAGAACCGAATATAAAGAAGAAGAAGAGAGTCTAGGGAGTTGAAGAGTTCACCTAGGGAAAGAAAAACGAAATAAACACACAAGACTAAGTTTAAAATCGAAATGGGCTCCTCCATGCAGATGGGCTCTGAGACAGCAATGGGCTTGAGTAAAAGAGTGTGTGGGCTTGCCTCATTAAAAACCTCTCTTGGAAAACCCATTGGGACAAAACCAAGAGGAGGGAAAAAGAGTGCAAGTCACACACCTCCATTGCTGTCGCTTAAACGGCTTGAATCACAACCAGTGTGGTTGGACAAGCTTCTGGTTTAAGGCTGCCCTCAATGTGTTGTAGAAGTGTGTTGATAGCTTGATTCAACTGCTTAGTCCTTGATCTCGTCATTGGTCCAGTAGCGACTTGCAATGCAACGTCCTCTTTAGCTCCAAGAACTTCATCTCCATGCTCCTTATCTCCATGCTCGATCAAGTGTTCCTCTGGTGCAATGTCCTGCTCGATCACGTCTCCTGCTTGGTGGTCGAGTATGTCCTCTGGTACATGCTGATCCTTAGCTCCATGATCCAAGCTTTCCATTATCACATCATGCTTATACGATGATTGTGTTTTAGATTTATTATATTTTAAGATCAAGTTATTGAAAACGTAAGTTAAGAAAATGCAAATATAGTAAGAGATCTACTCACTTCGTTTGACATGTAGATTTGCTATCTCTCTAAACAGTTACTTTTGACATGAAGAAACTTTAGCACCTATTGAACTGTGCAGAAATAGATGTAATAATCGGGCGACATAACTGGAGAATGGAATTTGTAATATGAACCTGCAATGTGAAATAGAGAATTTGATGAACATTAGAAACAACAATGAACAAACTAAATCAGAATTGAGAAATTCAAAAACAGAAAATGTAAAATGAAAGATTTTGAAATAAATAATTTGATGAAAAGCTTAACCATAATTGAGAGATACAAAAAACAGAATTGTAAATTGCAAAAAGAAGATGAGACATAAGATTGATGAAAGCATGAAATCAGAACATAGGTTCCTCCATAGTGAAGAAGAATCATACCTTTTTGCCAACTGTTTCTTTTCCTTCGTTTTCTTTTGACTCAATCTCATCTCCTTCGTTTTCTCCCTTCTCCGTGGATCTAGGTTTTTGAATTCTTGGGTTTTGAATGGAGGACGAAGCAAATAGAGGTTTCGTATGAATATGAATTTTTTATCAAGTGAGAATTATATTAGTGACACTTTGTTGAATCTCAGAGATCATGGAAGAACAGTAGAGATCGTGGGCAGTTGAAGGATATTGTTTCTGTCGTAATTCTTTTTTTTTTCTTTTGAAGAGTAAAAGTTTTTTTTCGTTTTAGTGAAGATAGATAAATATGTAATTTTTTTTTGTTTTTTTATTTTTCCCACGATCTTCCTTTTCTTTAAAATTAGGGAAATTACGTCTAATGACATTAAAAAGTCCACTAATTATTCTAATGGCTTAGTGAACCAACTCTTTACTAGAAAGGCTTTAAAAAGTTTTAAAAAGACTTTAGACCCACCATTAGGTTAGCTAATTACAAAAACTGTCATTTTGAATTAAAAATTTATGAAAATGAAACAATTTATATCTCTTAATAAATGTCCGACAGAGATTTGTTATTTGTAATCGTATTTATTGCGGCGAAGGTGGATTTTGAGAAGGGCGGCGAAAACTCTCCGACGAAAAAAAAAACGGCGAAGGTATGGAATGTTAGGGTTTGTTAGCATTTAAATGTCTATGGGTTAGTTGTATTTGTCTAAAGAAGTGAAATTCCCGTTTCATTGTAGTGAAATCGAAGTCGCGTAAAGTAATTGACTGTGACGGAAAAACGGCGAAAGAGGTACTGTCAGTTTAAATCTCGTATTTCCGGCGACCCTTAAGGTTTTATATCTTCAGTTTGTTCATAGATTGATATATCTAGAAAAGTTGTTTCTTTATGAGATTGGTTTTGCAAAATCGAAGGTATTTAAAGAGAAGAATTGCGTTGATTAGTAGGTTTAGGAAAAATATTTCAAATGAATGGATGGTGTACTGATTTTGTTAGGTATATGAAGTGATATGGGTTTTATATGGCGGGTGTTTTGTAAAATTATACACTTTAAACAATATAGTGACAGCTACTTCTAATGATAGAGTTATGTAAGTTTGAAAGCTAATAGTGACAGAGAAATATTATGATAAATGTGCAGAAAGAGTTAGATATATGTGGTGTAAACAGAGTAATGAAGTACTAAATGTGGTATGTATTTTCTTGTCATGTGTTATTTGCAGATGGAGTCTAGTTCAAGTATTCCAAAGAGTAATTATCCTCCACGACTGTATAGAGAAGGGAAATCTCCTATACAGACAAGAAGCATGCACCACAACTGCACTGTGAGTAGTATTGCAACAATGAAGGATTTCATTGGAGATAGAGCATATGCAGAGATTCGTGACAATAGTCAATTAGGTGTGTTACTGAAGTTGGCTGATAGTGAGTACGTTTGGTGTTCTAACACAGTGCATCACTTTCTGAGTAATCAGTTGGCGATAGAAAGTGGGTATGAGATTTAGAGTTTGATAGAAGGATATCCTCTCAGGTTTTCACTCCATGAATTCTCTGATATTACCGGCCTAAACTGTGATGCAATAGATGAAAAAGATAAAGTGGATGTTGATCACAGCGAATTTTGGGCAGAGTTAGAAGTAGATGCAAGTAAGGGACCAAACTGGAAAGAGCTGAATGCGGCGCTAAAAAAATGTAGGGGTTGGAGCTATGAGAAACGAAAAATGCTTGGGATGTTGTTTGTGTTGAATGTTGGTATATTGGGGAAATCAAGGTCTAGTAGGATTCCATTGGGGTATGCTAAAAGGGTATTTGATTCAGAGGCTTTTGAGAGGTATCCATGGGGACGAGTTGGTTTTAAGAGCTTAATAGAGTCAATCAAGGTGGTTTCTTATGAGAATGGATCCTATGTAGTGCATGGTTGTGTTCATGCTTTGTTGATTTGGGCATTTGAAAGTGTATCTGCTTTGGGGCAGAAGTATGGTAATCCAATTGAGGGAGATAATGTGCCTCTTCTAAGCTGGAAAGGGGGTCGTCCAAGATGTTGTATTGGTGACTTCTTAGCGAGGGAAAAGAAGTTACATAAGAAGGTAAAAACCTTAATGCCTATGGTTTTTGACTTCTATTACATGTTTATGTAAATAATCTTGAGTTGTAATACATGTTTCTGTGACTTGATTTGTAGTTGGATGTGCAACATATGGTTGTGCAATCTGAGGAGGACCTTTATCCAAATTGGCCTGACGAGAAAGCTGTCTACGGTGAAGGGGAAGGTGCTTGGGAATTGTTGGATAACTTGATGCATGATATCATGTTAGGACGTGTAGATGGAAAGTTTTGGGAAGAGGTTCCTAGGAAGAAAAAAGGAAAGAGGAAAGCGGTAGTTGAGGAGACGCAAGATGACTTTGTTGACCCACCGCCAAAGAAGCAGAAGCAACAAAGTGAAAAGAGATCAAAAGGAGGTGATTCAGTATCTGGTGGAGGGTCAGTTGGTGAAGTTTTGAATATGATGACTGCATTGGTTGGTAAAATGGATACAATGCAGTCCAAAATCGATGGTAGATTTGATGGTCTTACAGAGACAGTGGGAGGGATAGAGAAAAAGGTTATAGATCTTGAGAAGGAAGTTCAGATGCTGAAGACAAGCCGTAATGAGAAAAAAGGTGATGAAGAAGGTTCAGTGAACAAGGTATGAAATTGTTAATTAGTGTTTGGCAATGATGAATATAGTTCATCTATATTTCATAGTTTTCATATTGAAAAATGATTTTTTATGGTGCAGACAACTTCTTAGTTGGTGGGGGAACACAATTTGAATACTGTGGGAAGTATTTGAAGATGTATTTCATTGTTGTTAGTGTTTTGTTTTTTTTAAATCTACTATACCATATAATGCAGTTGGAAGACTGAATTTTTAAAAAAATTTATGTTGGGAACCTTAAATTTATTTGTTTAATGTTGTGGACCTTTTAGGTTAACAACAAGCTAGAAACACATTTGATGTTATGTATACAACACTGTTTTTCTGATCCTTATTACAAGCATGTATATTATTTTACCGATGTCTTACAAGATAAATTTTTTTGTAGTCATGGTCTGTACAGATGAAGGAAACATCTCAAGAAGGGTTTCCAATTTCTTGCGTCGTACGGAAACCAAGCCATGTTTCTAAGGCTAAAGCAGGATTTAATACAAGCCTTAGACGAGAGGATCTTTTTCAGTCAAAGTATGTTAACGCTAGTGTTAAGGAGCCGTTTTCTGCTGCGGCTACAAACTCTAAATCTGGTTTGCAGAAATCCGTGACACCGAAATCAATTGGGCCTCACAGCTCTGTCAAGAAGAAAGGCATAAAAACAGAACCTATTGACCCTCTTGACTCCGTCAGTCCTGTCTGTAAGACCAAGACTACTCCTGGGGTGGATATGGCAGAACTGTCTGAAGGTTCTGATTCAAGTGAGAATAAACGGAACAAGGCTTTAAATGGAGCACTCGATGACTTGCTTCGACTATGTAAGAAAGACGACTTTGTATCCCGGGTTCCTAGGCAGAAAAACCTTGCTTCAACACAAGTTCACCCATTCATCGGAAGTTCATTGGTTAAGCGTATACTGCGGGGTAAGACGCTGTCCCCTACAGTTTACGATCCGTTTGAAAAGGCGACACAATTGTCGGTGGATATGCTAGTTGCCTTCATTCGACATGATCTGTAAGTACAGCTTTTGTTTTAAAACATTTGGTTTGTTAAATCTCTGTCATTGATTGGCTTTACTGTTTACATTTACTATAGGGATAACCCATTAGAGACAAGCAACGGTGCAGCTAACTTCTATTTGAGGATAATGACACCTAAAGAGGAATGGCCTGTAGGAGATGAGTGCTACGGATGGCTGAAAGATGCGGTATGTTCAATTGGGCCTACTATAATTGAGGATTTTATTTGAATACGAGGACAGATTAATTAACACATACCATATATCAAAACTGTAGCATTTATGCCCTGCAATGCAATTGCTCCGGAAGCGGTCTATGCAACCAGTTACTCCGTTCATCACTGATAGGCTTGCCTTCTTAGATTCATGGTTTGTCAATCAATGGGCTCATGATTACAAGAAGTGGGATAGTGATAAGAAGTGGTTTTTTCCGGAAGAGTATTTCAAGGTCTATTCTGGCCTATCTCCCTCATTTGGAATTACTAACAAAAAATGGGTAGAAGATGTAGATTTTGTGTACTTAGCTCATAACATCAACAACAACCACTGGATTGCTCTTGAAGTGGACTTACAAAGGCGCCGGATAAAAGCATATGACAGCATCTTGAATGCTTACACCGACGAAGAAGTGTATGAGTCATGTAAGCCATACACACACACGAATGATTCCTGCTTTGTTGCAGACTATGGCTCCACCAGGTAAAAAAAAACATTAGGCGCAGCCGCATTCTCTTTCTACAGGGTGAAATCTGCCCCTCAAAACATACAAGAAGGGGATTGTGGCATTTACTCTTTTAAATACATAGAGTGTTTAGCTCTAGGACTCACTTTTGAGGGATTAAGTGATGCTGCAATGCCATGGCTCCGCATGAAGCTTGCTAGTGACGTACTGACTGAAGTGCTTGGAATTGATTGCTTCATCCAAATGTCTGACCCAAACCCGCGACACGCTGAATCTGGTGGTGTGCAGTTCATCTCTGAGACGAAGTAGTAAAAGTGGAAGATAATGGTTGGTCTTTATTTTTTGGTGTTCTTTTCGCTACACTTATTCAGATCACTTTTGGTTGGGTATAACCAAGTTGCATGTTCTATAGTTTGACCTATGAACTTGCAACTTTGTTATTTCTTCCTGGTACAAGTAACCATTTTTTGTGTTGTAAGAAGCTAATTTGGTGGTTGACTCGAATTTGGTTTTTCACTCTAATTTGGTTAACCCATTTTTCGGGACCATGTGTATTCAAACACGGGCTTTGTGATTTCAATGAAATTACACTTTCATTTGACCCTTTTTTTAACGTACGTAATATATGAAATATTCATATATGGTGAGGACAAAAGATGGGAAAGGAAATAATCGATAATAGTAGCCATAATTGTCCTAGAGTGCCTAGAGAACCCAAAACGTCACCAATGTCAATCAATAGAAACCGCCAGATAAAAAGTCATGATTACGTTCTCTCTTTGAAGCCGCTTCGTTTGCCTATATTTCTAGGGAACCGAAGACTAAATTATTGTATCTCCAAACAAAATATCAATATCAACAAAGCCAAACAAACACAATAACTCTTCAAACAGCATGGATTTAATCTCCGACTTGAGTATGGCGAGGACAAACTGGGGGATTCATGTCAAGATTCTGGCTCTGTGGAACAATCCCTCAAGAGGAATTATCTTGGAAAAATGAATGATTGTGGTTGACGTGAAGGTTAGAGTTATCTGTGTTTATACAAGATTGATTTAGTTAAATTTTGGGTAACCTAAATTCTTGAAACTGCTGTGATGTAGGGAAATTACATCGAAGTAATTGTTCCAAACAGGACCTACAGAAAAGCTTTTGTCCAGAATCTTTCAGAGGGTAAATGGTTTTACCTTGAAAACTTTCATGTTTTCCCTTCTAAATCCACATGTTTCGCTCTCAATACCTATGAAATACGGTGTATGTGGGAGACGAAGATGGTTTCCGTCTCTGACAAAACAAGCAACAACTTCTATAACTTCGTTTTCCCTAGCGAAGTTGAAAATGCGTAGGATGTCCAATTTCATCATGTTACTGGTAATAAATACACCTGATTGTGTAGATTTTTCAAAATCTATATTCCGGCTACTTGAACGATTACGTTTTTGCATGTTTCAGATGTTGTTGGCGTGGTTGTGAGTCTGTCTCCCATACGAAGAATCCCGTTTGTCTGCCGTGAAAACGAAACAGATTACAGTGCTAGATATGTAAAACTCACAATCAAGGACAATATGTAAGCCTGTCAATTAGGGTTTTTTTAACATTTTTTCTTATTTTGTTCATTATGTGAGTGAAAGTTTGCGAATTATTTATGTTCTTATATGTGTCTACCTACAATGGGGAATTATCTATGTTCTTATATGTGTCTGGCTACAATGGGGAATTATCTATGTTCTTATATGTGTCTTGATAAATAGGGGAAATCGCACAACTTGTATTGCTTTGGGAGAATGTTGTGAGACGGTTGTGAAGAAGGTCTCAACGATCCTGAGTTCCCGCAGTTACAATTATCAGCCAATAGTGGCTATGATGCGATTCTGGCGGGTTCAGGCGTTTGAAGGTGAGTCCCTATCTTACTTTATTATCCCTATAAAATTATGTCGCATTTAACATTGGTGTTCTTTTTTGTTTTAGGTAAAAATGTCGTCATGAGCGTTGATGATTGTGCTAGGGTTTACATCAACCCGAGATTTGAAGACTTTGACTTGGAAGGATACATGTAAGTAGCATTTCCTATTATAGATTGCCACGTTAGATAAGTTACATTTATATATAGAGAGAAGAGAGTAATCCATGTTATGTTTTGTTTCTTGAATACAGTCGAAGCTTCGCAGACCCGGAATCTGATGCTGTTTACATGGAGGAGGTTGCGTCTAACTAAGGGATGGAACGCTCTTTGGGATGCTGGGCTATGAAATCCACCTTATGTTTGGTCATTGTTTCTCCCTACTTCTAAGTCTCAAACTTGTTTCGCTATGTTATGGTTAACAAGCTTTTGGTTTTGACTAAAACAATATGTTCCGTTTGTTTATTGCCCTATTATAATCGGTTCTTTGTTTGCTTATATCTACTACAATGAATCACAATGTAGATAAGTCTAACAATAACATTTATTCACCGTAATCATAAGTTCAACATGATAGAAAGTGGTTATATGGTTTAATTACAAATTCTACGAAATGACTAGAATGGAAAATTAGAAACCAAAAACAATTTGGTTACTTCCCTTCTGAATCACAATGTAGTAAATTACAAACACAACCAGAGCAAAAACACAAACAAGACTGATCTTGTTCTTGATCTTCGCTTTGTGTAATTCCTTTTTGCACCAACCCATCTCTTCTTTCAGATTACCGACCATCTCTTTTACCTCATCACCTACGATCCTCATATACACAATCTCCGATTCTCTCTGCAATAAGTCTTGAACCTCTTCATACATTCCTTCTTCCACCCACTTAAACAAATGACCATCCTTTGATACACAAAAATAGTAATAAGAATAATATCACAAAGTTGTTGCAAATCAACGGTAGTAGAGTAAGAAGGAAATAAAAGTAATGATTTAGGAGCTTACAGCTCTCGAAGCAGCACATCGGAAATTAGGCCGACCGGGATTCAGTTTTGATTGAGATGTGAAAAGATATACATTACTGCCACACACACAATATTTCGGAAATCCTCTTTCATTTGAGCAATTGTTAATTGAGTTACAACTTAACTCATCCTATGAAACAAGGAATCATCAGAAGTTATGAAAAACCTAAATAAATCGTTGTTATTCATAAAAATGTCTGATAGGTACGAAAATAAATTAATTACTTATAGATCCAGAGGTTTCGGGGTTCGATTTGATGTTTTTCGTGTTTTTCATCGGTTCAAATGCACTCGAGCAATCGTCCTTCGCTTCTGGGTTTGTCGGAAAGCGGCTAGGGTTCTTATTCAACGAGTTGGGGATATTTGTTGGTTTTCTCTCTCTCGGTTAAATAGCCACATTATTCGTCTCTACTAGTCTTTCAACGTTGACTAAAAAAAGGGTCCATTAAATCGTTGACTTAAAAGTGGGCACGTGGGATTTACTATTTTTTCCTCTTTAGTACAAACACTACGATTAACAAAAAAGAGCATTAATCTCTGTGAAAGAGTGTCTTTTACTAACACACATAAACCCAACAAATATAATACGAAGACAGCATAAAATATTGTCTTACACATAACCAACAAAATATTACGCAAACATTAACACATTAAACGAAAGATATTAGCATAATAGTAGGCGAAACAATGTTTGCATACGACTATATTGTCATCGTGTTAAAGGCAACACAGAGGACAAATCTCGAAATGGAATGTTCTGTAGAAAACCCGATAACCTAAAATTCCCATGGATCTTGCTTGTTCTACCACTTCGTTACCGATTATGACAGCTGCCTCAAGTGTTGGAAACTTTCGCAAAAAATATTTATTTACAAGCATACCTTCTTTTAAAGCTCCACAGCATATGAGTAGTATCCCATATGCAAAATGTGCATATATCGACTCGCCAACACATTGACTTAGCATATCTAGGGCAGCTTGTGAAGGACCTACTTGAGTCAAAATCCTCAACGCTTCAACATATTTTGCAACAGGATGACCTACTTCGAGGCACTTTAATAAAAAAGTCCTGTAACTCGCCTGAACATTAGCAAGCCTTCCATTAAAAATAAATTCATCAATATCAACATTCTCTGATAATAGGATTTTACTCTAACAAGTATCAATCCCTAATACACATGCCATTGTAGTATATTAGGTTATCAATCCAATCTCAGTGTGACTGCAAGCATTCAAGATATGAAACAGAAAGCAAATAAGTCAAGCCAATTATGAAACGGTTTTGTGTGTTTCTATTGATCCTAAGCAACCAATTTAACATGCAAATACCGAATTTAAAAGCATAAAAAGAGAACTAAACAGCAAGTAAACAAGGACAAGAAGTAAACTAAAGACCAGAAACTATCATGCAAAAGCTTTGGAAAAGAAACTAACAACCTAACAATGCAGAGAAGCGCTCTAGGCCTAACAGGTCGAGTAGAACACAAAGACTGACAGAAACAAGATTTAAACAATCAATAGAGATAAAAGGTCCTGAGGAATGGGGTAATCGATTATGGCAGTCTCCTTAGTCTACCTAGGTGGTTAACAAACTCAATCAAGCTATCCCTAGATAATAGATTCGAATACAAATCAATCCACTCTCGTGACAGAGATTCTCAAGCTAAATCACTTTCATACTCAATTCTCATTGAAGAAATATAACCTAGCAGGCATTATGATTCAATCTAATCAAGTCAATAAGCATTCTAAACATCCAATCTCTTGGGCTAGAGTATGCAAATCTCTGGAATAGTTGGTTCAGACATTTCATCAAACACCTTTTGGGTGTGGAAATGTCTGAGATCAACTTCCAATTGATCAAAGAGGAAATAGCATTAAGATCTACTAAACCAGAAGGGAAATCAAGCAATTCTACACTTAACCACCTAAATATACTAAGGATTCCACACCTAATCTATCCCATCCTCAAGAACCCTAATCCACTACTCAAGAACACTGAAGAACATCATGCATAAAAACCCAGAAAACGTTTCAAACCCAGAAATCATTGAAAAGAAAGTATGTTATAGATAAGAGACAGATCTACAACTTTGATGAAGAAAAGAAATGCAAAAACTCAAAGGATCCACAGGAAAAACGATTACAAAAACTAGGGTTTATGAGAGAACAGCGGAATATCTGCTGGGTAAAAGGAATATTCGCTGGACAATAGCATGTACCCCTATTTATAGGAAATACTAGGTTGCCCTAATTGGCTACAGGACAAAATAGAGAGTCGGTGGAGGCCAACTCGACGTGACGTCGAGCCTGCCACGTCGAGTCCATGTGATCTTCAAAGGTGGCGCCTTGACGTCCAACTCGACGTGACGTCGAGCCTGCGTGGTCGAGTCTGCTCCCAGTCGGCTTCCTGGCATCCTACTCGACGTGTCATCGAGCCATGACGTCGAGTCTGCTCCTGGGTGATCTTGAACGACTTCATTCCTCTCCAATTCGATCCCAAGTCTAGCTCCAAGGTCGTGTTGGTTCCTCCTTGCTCCATTAAGTCCCAAATAAGCTCCAAAGTACCTAAAACTCATCCAATATGCAACATGCTATGCCATGCAATGCAAATCGTACTAAGTGATGAAAATATTATGAAAAAGGACTATTAATGTAGTGAAACAGAGAGAAAACTAAGCTAAATGCATAAGAAATGTGTGCTAAAAAGAGGTAAAATACAGAGATATCAACTCCCCCAAACTTAGCTCTTGCTTGCCCTCAAGCAAACAAATAGAACCAAGCTGGAGAAGAGGTTTGAAAGTGGAGACTCAGAACCAAAACATGCATATAGAGTAAGTGAATTCAATGTCCAGGTTGCTAATTCTAGAGTGCAAGGTTGACTGATCTCTACTTAAAAACATTAGCCATCTTCTTCACATTTCAACCTAACCTCTGCCTTAATCAAATCAAGCATTCAAATCTGCACATTCCCTTTAACATTTATTAAGTAGGAACCGTGAATCATACTATACAATGGATATGAACACATTTGGCTAAAGGGTAAAGGTTTAGAGACAAAGATGGTCCCTTAAAGATCTGGTTTAAATCGCAACAGGGGATCTCTCAAGAAAGATTGAACTTTAGTAGAATGCTAAAGGTGAGTATCAAGTTATGCATACAAGGATAAGACCCCATCTACCCAGAATGTAATCAATATCAACCCAAATAGAGGTCCTATTTCTAATCCCAGAATCATGAACTTAACTCTACCCTTTTGCACTCAAAGCATTTACAGACTTTTACTCACATCATTCCTTTCTTTTCTTTGCTTTCTATCCTAGGAGAAGCTTTCTTACTGCTCTGTCTAGCGGATCAGGTTTCTTTAACAACTAGGGTTCCCTTTTCTTTCTTCTTATAAACACAAGGCTTTTGCCCAAACTCTTTAAGCTATTTACAGAACCCTTTTTCCTTTACTTTAGCACACCCAAATCCTTTACTAGACTTCTCTTACTTTAGCTACTTCTCCTAAGAACTCTTTTCCCTTTTCTTTTCTTTCAATGATGAACACAACCTTTTCTTTCTTTTAAACACAACCCAAACCCAGAATTAAGCACCCACCTAGTCCTATCTGGTCCAGATAACGTGAACCAGAACTACATGAGATACTATCCTTGTCGTTACAGACCTAACACTTTCTACCAAGCTCAATCGAAACAAGGCCTCGCATTCACACACAAATGATAAATGGCTTGAAAGAAGGTTAAGGCTAAGGGTGGGGAATAACTGCTCCAAAGATGGGAGTCAGCTACTTGGACTAGCAAGAGTGATCAAAAGGTAAAAGAAAGTCCAAGTATTTTAAGGTATCCATGAGTTCATAGCACAATGCACAGCATGATAATTATAAGTCAAAATTCAAGTTCAAATTGATAGGGAATGACATCAGATCAAAGCGAGTTTCGACTAAGAACAAGAAAATCAAGCGTTGAATTCAAAAGATGGTGTGGTCTTACTTCAAGTTCAGTCGATTATGCATTAGAGAACTAACAACCAGGGCACTGAGTTCTACTTAGTGAATAAGCATATTTACAAGGTTATAATCATCATAATCTCCAATGCAAATGCATGATGCAGCAGTCCTAAATGAAAGCATACTAAAACAATCCTAAAATGACAATGCAAGCTATATGAACACTCTGTTTTTATGAAATCATTTTCGAAAAATTTCAAATTTTTATGGTTTTTCTATGCCTTAGATGCAATGATGCAAAATTTGAAATAAGAAAACAAAACGCAATGTCAAATACTCCCTGAGCCCTCCCCCAAACTTAAATTACACAGTCCTCTGTGTAACAAGCATTTGGAAGAGAGTACTCAGGGCAAACCAACAGAGAAACAAAATGAAATGTGGTATATACATTGGTGAATTGGAGTTGTTACCTCATGGATGGGTGAAGAAGGAGGTGATTGACCTGGTACTGGTGGGCTTCATGGGCTAACTCGACGTCTCATCGAGGAGGTACGTCGAGTAGGGCTTCGGTTTTGGTTTGGAGTGACACCAAGGGGCAAGCTCGACTTCACGTCGAGGAGGGCAGGTCGAGACAAGGCCACCCATTCTGTTTTGCGCCTTGGCTTCCTTAAAACGCTTAATCCTGAGACACTTAAGCAAAAACATCAAAAATAACAAGGAAATAACTAATATTTACAAGGATAGACATGGGACTTCCTCCCAAGTGAGCTTGTTTAAAGTCTTTAGCTTGACTTCTCACAGTGAATAAGCTTAGGGTGGATTGTAGAGAGCAAATGAGGTCTCATCTGTTCTGCAGGTGGATGAATCATCTGGCTTAGCAGGCTCTCTTGACAAATCTGCAGTTGAGTACTCAATGGCCCTTTTCTCATAGTAAGCTTCTTGTTGATCAACTAGATAGTCTTCTGCTATAGACCATTCTGAAGTGAATTCACTCCCCTTTGTGCTGACCAGAGTAGACGCTTCATCATTTGGGATGTCCTTGATTTGGAGTGGTACTTGGTTGGCTATCCCATGGAGCTTCTTGATTTGATCCTTCAGCTCCCTCACAGTGCATGTTAGCTCCCTTATGGCTTTATCCTGCCATTTGGACCTCTCCTTGAGTTCTAACCAGCCATCTGGAGCAGAATTGCTAGACTCTAGCAGCTTATCACAATGTTTGGTCGAGCTAGAGTTCTCCAAACTAGTTGAAGGCTTGCTCAAATGTATACTCGAGTCAGTTGGTTGAGCATGGGTTGAGCTTGCTTCAAATGCCACCTTAACCTCTGTTTCTAGCTCAATCAAGCCTTTAAAGACCTCTGACCCTACTACTTCCTTGTGTGAGTCTAGTGACTTACCACATCTCAAGGTTTCAGTGAGAAGATATCCTGCTTCACCACTCTTAGTCAAAGAAGTTTTTTGGTGATCTTCCTCAGCAACCTCCTCTAGCTGTTCATCAGCTAGGCAATCCATTACCTTAACTACGAAGGTCTGTCCTTCAATTGTTGGCTTCCTCGTGGCATCATTGATGTCAAACTTCATTGTGAAATCATTTCCCAGATTAAGATCAATCTTCCCATTCTTAACATCAATGACAGCTCCAGCAGTGGCTAAGAAGGGCCTTCCTAGGATTAAAGGATCTTTTGGTTCATCCATTTCTAGCACTATGAAGTCTGTAGGGATTTCAGCATTTCCAATCTTAATAGGCAAATCTTCTAATAACCCATGAGGAAATCTGATAGACTCATCAGCCAGGATCAAGGAGATGTTGCAAGGTTTATACTTGCTGAAACCCAGTCTCTTGGCCACGGAGAGAGGCATGAGACTTTTAAAAGCACCTAGATCGCAGAGGCAGTTACTGAAAGCTAAAGTGCCTAGAGAGCAAGGTAAAGTAAACGAACCAGGATCTCCCAATTTCTTGGGAATAATCTTCGTTTGGATGATTTCACTGCACTCATGACTCTCCATCCCTTGCACTTCCTTAATTCTCTCCATTACCATGTCTTTGAAGTACTTGTGAGAATCCGGAATCAGCATGAAAGCATCAATGAGAGGCATCCTTAATTCAATCTCCTTGATGTGTTTAGCAAACATGGCTCTGTACTTCTCAATGATATCCCTCTTGAATCTTCCTGGGAATGGTATTTTGGGCTTGTAGGGTGGTGGGATAAAAGCTTTCTTCTTACCCTTATCAACAGTTGGTTTTTCGATTTGGGGACTCTTAGCTTGATCTCTAGGTACAACATCTTGGTCAAGCTTAGTGGTGTCTTCTATTTGGGTTTCATTCTGAATAGAATCCTCCCCTTCCTGAATCTCACTGTCCTCAGTGACAGAAGCTTGGTTAGGTCGAGCTCGCAGCTCTCGACCACTGCGGAGGTGAATAGCATTAACATGACCTTTTTGATGCTGAATAGCTTTCCCTGGCAGTTTCCCTAGATTCTGAGGCGCAGAAGTAGAGGCAAATTGGCTCTCCATGTACTTAATCCTGGAGTTCAAAGCTTCAAACTTGATATTGAGATCATTGAAGGTGCAGTCTACTTTGTTTTGAATCTCAGCCATCTTCTTATCACCAGCTACTTGGCCGTGTAGAAGCTGTTGAAGCATTTGCTTCATGTCTTGATCTTGTGCAGGTGGAGCTTGTTGGGGTTGCTGTGCAAAACCGGGTGGTGGATTATATTGTTGATAACCGCCACTAAACTGCTGCTTTGGGACAAAGCCTTGATTGTACGGTATGAATGGCTTGGACTGGTTCTGTTGTTGCTGAGGGTAAACCTGATCTTGAGGGTTTGCAACATTCGTGCTCCGGTAAGATAGATTAGGATGAGCAGGCTGGTAGGGGTTGTAGCCCTTGTTGTAGCCACCTTGGTTCTGAACGTAGCTGCCTTCTGCAGCCTGAGTGTTCTCCCCCTCTTGGATTTTATAGTGCTCTTCTTCAGTGATATAGTGGACTGGTTTCTGGTTAGTAAGCAGAAATTTATCCAGCTTGTCGTTGAGAGCCTGAACCATCTCCTTAGTATGCTTTGCATCCGGATCTCCAATACCTCTGTTGGAGCGATCAAAATCCTCATTATAGTTACCATCAGATAGAGCTAAGTTCTCTATCAACTCCCAGCCTTCCTCAACATCCTTATTCAAGAAATTCCCATTAGAGGCAGTGTCTAGCAACATTCTGATCTTGGGCAAAACTCCCCTGTAGAGTGTGCTGAGTAGTGAAGCCTTCTTGAAACCATGGTGTGGACACTGTATAGTGTAGCCTTTGAATCTCTCCCAGGCCTCACAAATGGATTCAGACTGCTTTTGAGTAAAACTGGAGATTTCATTTCGTAGACGTGCAGTTCTTGAATTGGAGAAGAACTTTGTTAAGAAGGCCTTCTTGCAATCGTCCCAAGATGTGATGGAGCCAGCAGGTAGTGTCTTCTCCCAGTGGTGTGCTTTGTCTCCCAGCGAGAAGGGAAACAGACGCAGCTTGAAGCTGTCTTCACTAACACCATTGATCTTGGTGAGGCTGCAGAGCCTATCAAAATTATCCAAGTGATCCAAGGGATCTTCCAGAGGCAACCCATGAAACTTGTTACCTTGAATCATTGAGATCAATCCACTCTTGATCTCGAAATTGTTGTTCTGGACAGGAGGTGGAACGATGCCCTGTCTCTGTTGATGGTTGTGTGGTGCATCACCATCACCAATGTTCCGTGGTATACCAACTCCCTGATTATCTTGATCTTGTGGTTCCATGGCTACTGGAGTGTGCGGTTCACAGTTGTCTCTGGCTCTACCTTCTCTTAACTCACGAGCTAACTGGTTGATGTTGTCTTTGTAGCTGATGAGGTTGTTGGAGCCTTTAGATCGAGTTTGCATGCAAAGTGGTCAGACTCGATATGGCAGTCTCGACGTGAGGTCGAGATGGTACCTGGAGCACAAAAACAAGCATATGAAATGAAGAGTTAGTAACCAAGGTAAAGAAAGAACTTGATCTTAAACGTTTCTGAAATCTTAAATGGAACAATGCAACACAAGACTGGCAACGGCGCCAAATTGATAATAGGATTTTACTCTAACAAGTATCAATCCCTAATAGACATGCCATTGTAGTATATTAGGTTATCAATCCAATCTCAGTGTGACTGCAAGCATTCAAGATATGAAACAGAAAGCAAATAAGTCAAGCCAATTATGAAATGGTTTTGTGTGTTTCTATTGATCCTAAGCAACCAATTTAACATGCAAATACCGAATTTAAAAGCATAAAAAGAGAACTAAACAGCAAGTAAACAAGGACAAGAAGTAAACTAAAGACCAGAAACTATCATGCAAAAGCTTTGGAAAAGAAACTAACAACCTAACAATGCAGAGAAGCGCTCTAGGCCTAACAGGTCGAGTAGAACACAAAGACTGACAGAAACAAGATTTAAACAATCAATAGAGATAAAAGGTCCTGAGGAATGGGGTAATCGATTATGGCAGTCTCCTTAGTCTACCTAGATGGTTAACAAACTCAATCAAGCTATCCCTAGACAATAGATTCGAATACAAATCAATCCACTCTCGTGACAGAGATTCTCAAGCTAAATCACTTTCATACTCAATTCTCATTGAAGAAATATAACCTAGCAGGCATTATGATTCAATCTAATCAAGTCAATAAGCATTCTAAACATCCAATCTCTTGGGCTAGAGTATGCAAATCTCTGGAATAGTTGGTTCAGACATTTCATCAAACACCTTTTGGGTGTGGAAATGTCTGAGATCAACTTCCAATTGATCAGAGAGGAAATAGCATTAAGATCTACTAAACCAGAAGGGAAATCAAGCAATTCTACACTTAACCACCTAAATATACTAAGGATTCCACACCTAATCTATCCCATCCTCAAGAACCCTAATCCACTACTCAAGAACACTGAAGAACATCATGCATAAAAACCCAGAAAACGTTTCAAACCCAGAAATCATTGAAAAGAAAGTATGTTATAGATAAGAGACAGATCTACAACTTTGATGAAGAAAAGAAATGCAAAAACTCAAAGGATCCACAGGAAAAACGATTACAAAAACTAGGGTTTATGAGAGAACAGCGGAATATCTGCTGGGTAAAAGGAATATTCGCTGGACAATAGCATGTACCCCTATTTATAGGAAATACTAGGTTGCCCTAATTGGCTACAGGACAAAATAGAGAGTCGGTGGAGGCCAACTCGACGTGACGTCGAGCCTGCCACGTCGAGTCCATGTGATCTTCAAAGGTGGCGCCTTGACGTCCAACTCGACGTGACGTCGAGCCTGCGTGGTCGAGTCTGCTCCCAGTCGGCTTCCTGGCGTCCTACTCGACGTGTCATCGAGCCATGACGTCGAGTCTGCTCCTGGGTGATCTTGAACGACTTCATTCCTCTCCAATTCGATCCCAAGTCTAGCTCCAAGGTCGTGTTGGTTCCTCCTTGCTCCATTAAGTCCCGAATAAGCTCCAAAGTACCTAAAACTCATCCAATATGCAACATGCTATGCCATGTAATGCAAATCGTACTAAGTGATGAAAATCTTATGAAAAAGGACTATTAATGTAGTGAAACAGAGAGGAAACTAAGCTAAATGCATAAGAAATGTGTGCTAAAAAGAGGTAAAATACAGAGATATCATTCTCCAAAACCTCAGCCGTGTAAACTAGCTCAGTGTAGCCTGGTCCTGCAGCGATAACCGGACCAAGGTAGCGGAAACCGTCTTTACCCAGCCGGCGGAAAATGTTGCAAACAATAGGAGTGGGAAGGTACGCCATATTTTCCTTTTGGTTAAGTTATTTGATAGGTGAAGTTATGAGAACTTCGAAGCTCGTGTAACAACCCAATGTAGTTATAAAGAGGTGAAACAACAAAGAGAGTTCCCTCCATAACCTAATCTATAAGTATTTACTTAAGTTGGTGAGATAAGACCTCCTTCGGAATTTGTCATAAGTTCAGTAGGTTGTAAACTATAATCTACAGCTTAAGTAGTTATGATGACAGAGTTTTAAGACAGACGAGACTTCAGTAGGTGAGCCATAACTGCGTAATGACAGATTTTTTTATGGAATAACCGCACCGTACTCTACGGCTGACCTGACCTAATGTTTTTTATGGGACTCTGGTAATAAGGGATACATTGCACAACTTAAATACATCCACACGTAAGTACATCAAGATATCTAAATATTGGTTGGTGTTGGGCCTTTGTAATAGTAATGCAAACCCAAGGCCCATTGTATTGACTATTTTCGGGATGGGCCTTGTTAAACAAAACATGTTGGGATTGAAGGATAAAGTCGCATATCTAGGGTTTTACTTTTATACTCTATCTCTGTTTTTATCATCGTCTCCTCCACTTTCCAGCTGCAAGGACATATTCAACAATGTCCTACATTCCAGCAGCAGTAATGACAGATATAGTCCGTCGAGTTGGGAGTGATGGATTCCCGAATCTTGGTCCTCTGATCGCAGCCGGGCCATTCTTTCAAGAAATCGTCTTCTCCCGTGATGTTTTGCTAGATGTCGATCTGGATGAGGTCTTGTTCAACTCAAGGCTCGGTAGGGAAGAGTCCATCTACCGACCGTTTCTTTTGAGATGCGCAGCAGCAGGGCATGAGGTTGCAAGATATTTAGAAGGACTTCGGCGTTTGACGCAAGAAGGACTGTCGGTGGAAGCATTAGAGATGCTTGGAGAAGTTGGATACTCTTCCATCTATGCTACATTTGCATTTGCAGTTATGCTCCTCTGTTGTGGTTCCTATGACCAAGGTATGGTCGTTACACGCACTTTTTTTAGCAGGATTGAAACTTTGGAAGAGGCAATCGCCGTAGCCGGCGTAGTAGAAGACCAAATACGTCATATCGGACCAGCGGGTCGCAATGTCTTTGACGGTTATATTCATTTCAATGAGTATCCAATTTGCTACTTCGAACACACCAACTCGGCTACTTCCATTTGTCACCATTGTTTTACGTTTAATTATGCCACCACTTTCCATGAAATGTGTTAAATTAGGTAACCTTACTTCCGAAGTTCTTGATCTTCGCTTTTGTTGTCTACAAACTCTGTTATGTGATGAACGCTGTTCTTGTTCGATTCTATCTGATTGTCTATGTTTATATATTTGTTGTGTAGTTTCTTCCTATGAAAACTTTATTCCTTCCTACGGTCTATGTTTATATTTTAGTCAGATGAACATATAAGAATATACCACTAAGAAGATTTGAAGTCTTTAGTAGTGTTAGACATAACAGAGTAGGACATAACATAGTAGGACAAATGTAATTTCTTACAAAAACATGTGAAGAAGTACTGCAACAGAAAACATGTTATGAATTACATGTCGTTCGATTATGACCAGCTAAATGACATTTCGAGCAAACGTGAACTTTCCTTGGTCGGCTTCGATCAATAGCTATCTCCATTTGCCCTTTTATTCTTGTAATCTTCGGCCTGCCAGGTGGGATCCTAACGAATGGAGGCTTACAGACTGTCGAACCGATTCTCTGTGGGATAGGTGATGAACCATCCTTTGGCATTATGGACATTGCATAACCGCTCCGAAGAAAATCTGTCAAGTAGTTTTTGTCGTTGAGTGTAATCCTAGAAACTTTAGCATGCTCTGCCGCAGCAATAGCATGAACGCATGCTATTTTCTCTAAATCGAACATCATACATGAACACCTTTTCGCAGTCAAATTCACCACGTTTGTCGACACTCCATTGGTCACTTCATATTGATGCCTATCGATCTTTGCCTTAATAATACGGTCCTATAAAGAGAAAAGTATATTGTTAGTAGTGAGTGCAACGTATTACCAGTATATAGATCCAAATCACAAGTTACTTACATGTAAATGTTTTTCTAAACCTTTTGTCAGGGTTGTTGTCATCAACATCGCTTCTTTCCTCCTTTTAGCATACCAACGTGTCAGCATCAACCTCACTTCATCAAGTAGCATCACGATCGGGTACTTTCTGGCACCAGTCAAGACTTTATTTAGAGACTCTGCAATGTTGCTAGTTGTGAAGTTGTACCTATCGCCCGGAAAGTGTACCCGACTCCAGAAACGCACGTCAGCCCTAACCAAATAGCTATGCAAATCGGGATTTGTATCTTTAATCTGATTGAAGTACACGTTAAAATCTACGAGACGGTAAGCACTTGCAGCCTTTTTCACTAGTCCATATGTCTCACTACCTCTAAATTTTAACAATATATTCTTGTGAAGATGGTAAGTACATACACCCCGACTAGCCCGCGGGTATACACGCCCTATTGTTTTACCTATTGATTTATGTCTATCTGATATAATAGACAGGCTTTCGTCATCAGGAATAACACAACTAAGTTGTCTAAAGAACCATTCCCACGACACATCGTTCTCCGTGTCAACTACCGCATATGCTAAGGGGAAAATATTGAAATTCCCATCTTGTGTTGTGGCAAGTAGAAGCGTACCTAGATATGGCCCTTTCAGAAATGTTCCATCCACAACTACAACTTTTCTCATAAACTGAAATCCATGAATGCTTGCGCCAAATGCAATGAAGACAAACTTAAATCTATCTTCTTCGTCAATCGCAAGTCTAGTTAGAGTTCCTGGATTTGCTTTCCTTATCAGGTATAAGTATGAAGGAAGATCTTCATATCCATTTTCTGAAGTTCCTCTCACCAAAGTCCGGGCAAATAAGAGTGTACGATGTGCCTTCCAATAGTCAACCTATAAAGAGTTAATATTTTCTTAACATCAATCCTCCAAAAGTGAATGATATTGATCTATGTTTTTTGATTATCTAACATACCTTTATTCCATATCTTAGGTTAAGTGCTTCTGCCACATGACATGGCAATACGGATTCACCAACACCACCAACAAATTCCTTGTAAAGCTGTCCTAGTATTGCAGGAGTCGCTTGCCTATCACGTGCCGACCGTTCTGTGACTGAACATGTATGGGTACGATTGTATATGCGAATATTAAAAACACATGAATCTCCTATGGGTGAAGCTCGTACTCTCCAACTGCAGCTGGGTACCCAACAATTAACAGTATACAAGTCTGGCCTCGATCTATCAACATCGAAGTCGAACTTTTGGATTACACTAAGAATCTTCAATCTTTCCTCTAGTGCATCCTTGGACTCATACTGTTGGCCAACAGCTAGATCCACACCACACATTTCCAATTTCAGATAAGACTTCGCATTCCAATAATTACCTGATGATAAAGAGAATTTTTTATTTCTTTTGCAATTCCTCTGAGATTCCTCCATTTTTGCCTCACTCTTCACTTCATCTCTATCAGCTACATCTTCCTCCTCTTCCTCGTCTCGTGAATTCAATCCATAGTATTCATCTCCTGAGCTCGCTCCGTCTTCATCATCACAATAATCAAATCTGGGAAATTCATCATCATCCTCCAAATCTTATTTGCGAATTGCTTCAGAAATGATTGATTCAACCTCCTCTGCTTCATCCACGGAATGTTCTGTTGAGCCAAAATTTCGATTGAACATATCTCCTACAGGTTTTTTCCCCTCCCTCTTCCGGTTGTAGTACTCCTCGTCTTCAATAACTGTTTCCTCCTTCACTTCCCTACTCTCCTCACATTTGCCCTTTCTTTTCCTGTCTTTCTTTTCTCGACAGTTACCACCACAAATTATTTCGACACATAGCCTCACCGATTCTTTTGAACACTGCCGGAGATATGCCTCGAATTGACGGCCATTCGTTACAAACACAGGTGGCGTATCTGCAAAACTTTTGGACTTCATAGGTAACATATAACTGAGCTTGATTGACTCAGTCTTTGAATCGAAACCAAAATCTTCATACACCATGTCATTAAATGCTTCAAAACTACTACCAACACTAGCAGGTAAAATCCTACTTCCTCTTTCTTCATCAATGCCAAAATCCCATCTTGATTTATGAAATTGCCAGCTACCGCAAACTAGTTGAATGTCTTCCATCGCCTTTCGTCGATGTGCTCTGATTCGGAACACCGACAAAGTTTTTAACCTACAAACAACGAAGAAGACGCGTGTCCATTGAAATTGTAATTACAGTTACAGTGGAAGGGTTTTTTTGGAATTGCCAATTTTAACGCTGTGACAGATTTAACATCATACATAACTCTGTCAAAATAAATCTATCACGTCTATATAACAAAACATTTTTAAAGGATTGCGGTTTTACAGGTTTTAAGTCTACCCCCACATTGTCTCGCTAACTCTGTCACCAATCAGTCGTAATACCACTACTCTATCGTCACACACATAAAGTCTACCACCACTTATCTGACACACTGTGACACACTGTGACACGCTAGTAATTAATTTCTTGGATAAGTCTGTCAATTATATAATAAATCTATCGTAAAAAATTACTCTACTTTAACTACTCACAGACTTTGTTTCAATTTTCAAACTCTACTACATTTCTCTGTCTTTTCTTAACAACTCTATCATAACCTTTGTTAACTCTACCTAGCAAATCTATTTCCTTAATTACTCTTTCATTACTACATATTAGTCTGCCTAACAAAGCCATTTTACATATTACTCTATCACCACTATATACAACTCTACCAAATAACTCAACCAAAACTACATAAATCTATCACTCTACTTCAATCTACTGTGTCTTAAACATAGATTTATCAAATATATCTGACAAATCTGTCATTATTTATTAAAACTACCATACAAATCTGTCACCTCCATAAATCTGTCGCCACTTCCAAATTATCCTCCCAATTTCCCGCCTCTTACTTTTTCCCATCTCCCGCCTTTTTCATGGCATTTCTATAAATTATTGTAATTACTTCTAATGGCATTTCTGTTATTTTTTTTCTCGCCTAACACATTTATGAGGGCAAGATTGCCTTTTAAAAAAGATATTACTGTAGCTTCAAAACCATGCCATTTTAGTTTTTTTCCCTCTTCACTAAGCCTTTTGAGTAACTCTCCCTTAAAATTATTTTGAAATCATTTGTTCTCATGTTGGCTGGATTTAGTTTTTTTTTAAAAAAAAAATTTAAATTTTATGTATTATCGATTTTTTGTTTTACTTTTTTGCCATGATCTCTCTTTTGTTTTACAATAAAGTTTTAAAAAAATTTGTTTTTGCTGACATGTCAAAATTTTGTTGGTGTTGTGACTTGTGCTTTATAAGATAAAGGATATCAAACTTTTAAATTGACTCGAATTATATATCTACTAGGTCCGGACCCGCACGTACGTGCGGGGTTTTATATTTTGAAAGATGCGGGTTGAATATTTGTTGTATAACGTATAGTGAAAACGGGTCTAACATTTAGTGTTGGAAAACGTATGTATGGGGTTTTTTGTTTGATTGGTTAAAAAGATTGGAAAGAATAATTAGTAAGAATTTAGTAATTTTGATTGGTGAATGATTGGATATCTTGGTTTGGTTTTGTTGAATTATTGAGAAAGTTGCAAAATTGGTTGTAATATTTGTGAAACGAAATTATTATTCTGAGTTATATTGTATATTTTTATTTCTTAAACTATAAAATGATTTGTTTGGTGAAATAAAATTATTGTTTGTAATTTGATGCATTTTTCATAAATATAAATGATTATAATTCAGATAAAGGCCCGTTAATGATTCCCCATTTAATTAGGATTGGGCTGGATTTTTGATAGACCCATTTAGAGATCCATGGTTTCGTTTTTGTTTTTTAATACAGAATCAAATGTTTTTTTTTCTTTTGGACAGAAGTGATTATAGCACGATTCTTTGTCTTATGGTCTTCAAAGAATGAATCCCTAAAAATCATAAGCTTTTCCGATTTCTCAATCAATGTCAAAAGTTTCGATCATCAATCGAGTCTCCGTATATCTAATTTCCATATCATATTCGGGATTTCTTCAAAGAGGTAAGGTTTTTAGAGATTCTTCTTCAATCAATCTATTTTTATAATCTGTCGATTCATTTACAATCTTTGTAATTCTGTGTTTCAACAGAGATCTTGGGCTATCACTGTGGTTATACGAACTTGCATGAGTAAGTATTTTCAATTATATTTGTTGTTTAGATCCGTAATTGCATGTCTATAATTTTTGTGTTTATTCGGGTAACTCTATCTATTATCAAAATCTTCTATGCGTTGGAGTGAAAAGAGGCTATAATTTGATTTTGTATAGATTTAGGCAATAGATTTTGTTTCCTAATATTTAATTTGTTCCTAAATTGATTTTAGATAATGATTGGATGATGATTTTGTATGAGGAAGACGATTTACAAAGTTAAGCTTTCTATTACAGCTCTTACATAACAAAACAATGTCTTAATATATATGGTTCTGATTTTACCAAATACAATGTTTACAGAGAAGGCAAAATATTCGAGTTGATTTCAATCTGAGAAGACAAATTTGATGTCCTTTAGTAGCCATAACGGAATCTGGAAGCTATTTTAAAGGTTAGATTATGTAATCTCTTTTTGAAATTGTAGAGTTGTTATATAAAACATATAGTTGTCAATCTATACTTTTAAATATTGATATTGCTTAGCTTAACATTTATGAGTACAATATAGTTTTTAGAAAACTTACTTAAATTTAGGGAATATACTAATAAAACTTTTTATGGAAAACAGAGTAAAATAGAGATTAAATACAAAAGAAACAAATAGGGTAGGTTTAAGTCGATTACAAAAGGAGTTTTCCATACCTCCAAGGAAGTTTTTAAAAAGACAGAGTTCATCTCCTCTAAAAATGTAAAAAGAAACAACATAAACTAAGAGAAACTGAAGTAACCTTGCAAATCCAATCCCTCCTTCCTTCACATGTTAGTTCTCAGCAACCATCTCCATCATCACATCCTCTTCGTCACTTGATCCATCGTCGAATGATCGCCTGCAAAAAAACATATGCTTTATGTTTACCTAGGCTATGAATCTCAACCAAAATATATGCCAATTATAAGAGAATTTTTAACTTACAGATAACTTGGAATGTCAAGTTCATAAAAGATTGGATCAATGTATCGACGTGAACAGCCATATTCACTCATTAAAACATTGTTTCCTATAGAAAAAAAAAAAGATTCAGTCAATGTAACTAATAAAATTGTAAAGTCAGTTCATAAAACTATAATAAGAACCAACCACAGTAAGAAGTTATTCTCCAGAAACGCAAGACTGCAACAATCTTATCATAGTTGTAGTTTATTCCGCTTATCTTCTGAGACCAAGTGTTCACAAAGAACTCACACCACTTTCCCACAGCTACGCATTTTATTGTCTCCCCCCTAGATTAAAAGTTTAATTTCCAAACAAAAAGAACAGTCAATCCAATTTCTTAAAGTAATTTAAGAACAGACATTGAAATTCTGTCACAGAGGGTAAACTAAACTTACACATTATTTTTAATTTTGAAGCAGACATTTATTGTACTTAAATAATAGTATAGATTTTTTGTAATAACAAAGGGTATTGTAGAGCAAGATAACATGGTTCTATTTCACTGATTCTTTGTAAATACCCAGATTTTTCTTCAATAATAATGTCACGACTTGGCATACCAATGTGAAAATCACCTGGAATCAGCGCTGCGACCTCTGAAGCTGTTGGCACTGCATATGTTCTTCCATCTTTGACACGGTCACTCACAATTTTCATGTGAAAGCTCTGCTCAGGATTGGTATTAAACCTATCACGAGCTTGTCTAAAATGAGCAACGTATGGATTAACTTCATTTAGCAGCTTTATTATCGCCTCAATTATTTCTTTTCTCAGCTCTGGCTTCTTCTTATATTTCCCAGCAGATTTTCCTTTACTGAAATATAAATTTAGTTAGCAACGACACTAATACAGACAGAAAAAAACACAAAGTCTGGATACTGTAATTGCTTGTTTTGAGTTAGAAAATGTACCTTAAAATTCCTGCTCTGTTTTCAACTTCATTCTCGGTATCAACTATATATAGCTGACTAAACTTTGGAAATTCACCTTCTCCAGGTTTCAAACTTCCCATCTGGTGGTAATTCTCTCCTTGAATCTGAAACATATTAGGACCCCTTCCCGCTGTAATAGAATTATCACATTTACCCCCAAGAGAAGTAAACGAAAAAATCATGTTATATGCTCTGATGTTCTCTCTAAAGTGTCTACTCATGTCATCATCATTGGTTAGCAAAGCAAATAACAGTTCTGGTTGATTATGGAGGAAAGGCAGTTTCACAGATCCTTTCAAACAACATTGAGTAAAAATTGGTTTACGAACTTTCTTATGTCTGTTGATGCGTTCTCCATACCACATAATAGCACCGCAGTAGGAACATGAGTAGACAGGATCTCCATGATCTAGATACTCTCACTACAAGAAATATCTACATTATTAGCAAGAGAGAAGAGCTATTATATGTCATCAATAGCGTTTTCATAAACGCTGTCTTATGCCCCTGTTATGGTAGACCCCCTATATACGATAGCATTTTTTTTTATGTTATGATAGAGTATTCTACCATAGCATTAGTGAAACGCTTTCATATATCGACTTATAATAGCGATATATATAAGCTATGATCTATAATTTTTATGATGCTATAATATTCAGTGCCATAACTCTAATTTTATGCGGTTGTTTTTAGCTATTTGCATTTGGTGGACCTGTTTAATTTTGAAAATATCCAATATATATATATATATATATATATATATATATATAATAATAATAATAATAAACATCTAAAAGATATACATCATTTCATAAACCAAAAATCAATTCATACATAACACAAGTCTCAATCTAGTACTTAAACTAATATCCTAACTTTTATATACTACTTTTGCCAAGGAAGTTATTGATGAGATCATGCAAAATCCTTACTTCGTTTTCTAGATACTTGACTCGATTCTTCAAGGAAGTTAGCTCAGTTTCATAGGTTGTTGTAGTCTCTTCCTCTCTCTTAGGTTTTCAAAAAATACTGCTACCTTTTCTCTTAGATTTTCCTCAAATACTGCAGTCTTCATCTATCTCACTGTCCTCAACGACGAGATTCATTATATCTTTTGTTAGAACATGAAATCAAACAAGTAAAATTCAGGCTTCTTGACCACAAACTTATTGAGTCACTTTATTAGTAAACAAGTCTCTTTACTGACCTGAAAACTCAACCTGCGACTGAGACATATCTTTAGCCTGAGAAGAGACTAATTCCATTTCCTTTGTACCTTTACTTTCTCCAAGAAACTCAAGACCATCACTTGTATCCAACATCGGTGACTCATAGACATAACTCGAAAACCACTTACTTAGATCAGGAACTTCTGAGAATTCTGAAAACATAAGTGAAAAAGAACCCCATAAGTAAAATCAATGCAGTTAAAACAATAAGATATACAGATCTTCCCAACCAACCAAGCAAATTCAGAAAACAGATTCCAAGAAAATGAGTTACCTTCACTATCATCCATCTCTCAATTCTTTCTATTCGCTCCTCTTTCACCTTGGTATCCTCTACACTGTCTTTGTCTTGAGTGCTTCCGTTAGTCTTTTTCTTTGGCTGCCCGACCTCCACTTTCTATCTCTTTAAGAGCACTGATCAAATACAAAGTTGCAATCAAAGACAAAGAATGTGACTATGGTCGTTTAGTTGCAATGACAATGTATACCAGCCATACCATATACTGTTAACCGTTGACCAAGGAAACAATCAGTTTTGTAAAGTTAAAGTTATATCAAAGAGCAAGATAAAGTTAAAGTTTTGTATGAGAGTTAAAACTCTAGCAATCCGAAATCATAGACCAACACAACAATCAATTTGAAACACATACAGAGACAATACTTTATGCCAATTAAACATAACAGTCTACTCTACTTAGGATCATACTTTCATCATCAGCTTAATGGTCCATAGAGGCAGATTATTACACTTTCATCTACTTAGGATAATACATTCTCAGTTACTATACCCAATGAAACCTTGTAAATAAAAACAAAGAGACTCTTTACTATAAATAAAGATTATTACTTCACTTTCAAAATCTTTTGTATAACCCAACGAATAATCAAATGCAAAAACTTGAGGAAATGTGAAATTAACAACCTCAAAAATTAACAACGGATTAACCCCAAATACATCCCTGCGGCTCCAATGGCAGTTTTGCTTTATTCTGAAAAACAAAAGAGAATATGAACTGATTTAGATGGAGTATATCAATTCAGTGTATGTGTTCTTGTTAACAAAACTGCAAAAGATGCTGAGAATGGATAGGAAAATTATGATAAGGAAAAGAGGAGGGAGGAACAAACACAGCCATGAAATAGGTCTAATGGTCAAACTTATGAAACATGATTATTCACAGAGAGTACGGTTCCTTGATTATTGGTATTCTCCATATACCTATGACTGAAAAATGATTTTTATATATGTGAAGAGAACATTGATCTGCCGACAAGAATGAGAGAACATATTAATCACAAATGGGCATTGAACAACCAATACAATCTAAGTAAAAATCATATGAGAATACATAAAAGGACAAAACTATGTGTCAATTTGTTAAGGAACTTGAAAGGAACAGAAGCATAAGCTCTGGTTTTTGTAGCACATCTCCTCTAATAACTTCAACTTTGATCCAAAACAAAGAAATTTGATGAACAAAATCATACTGGAACTATAAATTCATATAAACTAGATCAAATCTCTCTTCTCCAAAAAAGACACTGACTTGTCCTAAACCTAATTCATAAGCTCTTTGTAATCAAAATCCCAACTTTCGTGAAACCCTAATCGAATTCCAGAATCTAATTCATAGGAAACTGAAGATTGAGAATAGAGAAGAGATTAAAACAAGGATCGAGAACACCATTGATGCAAGTGGAGAAAGTGTGCGAGAATACCTCTTAACACGGTCGCCGACGAACTCAATTGTGTTTCCAAAACTAAAACGGACCGACGACGAGCTTCACGGGGGAGGCCGGCGACGAGTTTCACGGTGGAGGCTGGCGACGAGCTTCACGGTGAAGGCTGGTGACGAGCTTTACGGTGGAGGCCGGCGATGAGCTTTACGGTGGAGGTACGGAGCTTCACACGAAGAAATCTCTTTGTGGTTTTGGCTAGGCTTGGAATCGATTTTGTTTTGATAGAACACTGGGATTCGATAGAACTCTTAGATCTGAGAGGTAACTCAGTAGACTGAACTGGTTATGTTTCGAAATCCTTATGTTTCTCGACAATAGAGGGAAAAATAAAAGGCAAAAGGCGCTTAAGTGAATAATTTTTGCTAAGTGTTGGCAGAATAGGTCATTTTTGTTTCCCGCTTAAGGATTTTCGGTCTTAGCATTTATCAGGTGCTATTAAAAAGTAACCAAAATCACGAACTCATCTATTATAGCAGATCAGGAAAATGCGCTATCGTCTAGTGCTATCAATGTGGACTTTTTTTGTAGTGTCTACAATAACAGAAAGACAGTTTAGCATAAGTAAAGTTTGTTTAAGAAAAGATTTAGAACTAAACCAATGATGTAGTACCTGTGTTTTTGTTCTTTCTGCTAGAAACATTAGGAGTTTTTCTTTCTCCAAAAGCTTTGGTCAAACTTTCATCTAACATAGATAAAAACTCATATCTTTGTTTGACTTCGATTGGAATATCGTCTATGGTTTCATAATCTTCTGATGTTTCTGAATCATTTTCATCTGGACTACTACAATCGTAAACATGTTCACGTGTTTCCTCCAAATCACCTATCATATTTTTTTTCCCTGATTAGTGAATGCTTTATTAAGTTAAGAAAATATATCATACTGATTTTTACTTACTCATATTAATATATGTTTCTTCCTTTGAATTCAGGATCTCATCAGAGTCTTCTTCGATTGTTGGATCATAACTGTTGTGAGATGTTTTTTTCTCCTTTGCGAAAGACTTAGGGAACCTCAGATTGTTTCTTGAATTGGTAAGTATAATACCCTTAGTAGCTTCATGAAATCAACATTACTCCATCAGTGTTGATCTATTAATACTTTTTATGTAATAGTTTCATATTATTGAGAGTCATGTATACCTTGTTTGCTATTAACAGATGGAGGACTCCACTTTTTCCCCTTTTTTTCTGGTGGCTTATGTGGATTAAGTGGAGTTTGGTTAACCTCGCTGTGAAGCTGTGATGTATTGATACTGTTCTGCACATCTTGAAAAGGTCTTCTCTGTGTCCTTGCTGTTTTTTTTGCTGATCTTACACTCGTATTATAAGTAACTGTAGACTCAAATCATAAACCAGTATGGTTGTATATTAGTTAGCATAAAATGTAGATGCTATATTGTTGGAATATAAATGTTTACATACCTACTGTTTCCTTTTGTATGGTTGCAGAAGAAGAAGGACCAGTTACTGTCTCTAAGGCATCAGAATCACACATCTGGGCTGGTATGTTACCTATTCCATATCTCAATCGATTAAAAATCCCTTTTACTTGAACATCACTCCTATCTTGTTGGTTCTGTAGATTTGGATTTATGTTTTCATCATTCTGCTGAGGCCTAGAACGCTTTGTGTTAGGTGTCTGCAATACATTGTTATTTTCTTTTACTGTTTCATTTTTTCTTCTCTTCATCCTGAAAAACAAAATTGATATGTGAGAACTATTAATTCCAATTATGTCATTTGTAAATGAACATGTTCAATGCTTAAAGAGCTTAAAAGACTGACCTTATAGATGTTTCTTTGCTAATGAGCCGAGTAGCTGTAGATTAGGATTGAATGTGTTAAATGGTTATGTAATGATTATAAAGAAATCGTCTCATCCTGATTTAGTGTGATAGCATTAAACTGAAAAGATTACAGAATATATTTTCTTTTCCATATTCATAATAATATATACTTGATTGATTCTTATTTTTATTGTTAAAATATTGTATATTAATAGGTTAAATATGTAAGCTTTGGTCTCTTAAACAGTTGTTATACTACAACAATGAATTCTTTTAAAACTGATTTATCTCAACTGCTATACTATTCCAATTTGTTAACGATTTAGAAGAGGAGATATCTTTATATAGCTTAAGATCTTGAAAGTACTTGCAGATATGCCATTCAAAATATATGTACTTATTATATATCTATACTATTAATTAAGTTAACCATTTATAGTATAGATATCGTCAGATTAGAAGATTTCATCTTAGACACATGTTTGTTTGTTACTAACATGTGTTTTCTTTTGTCTGCAGTTTTAGCTACTAAAATGGGGCTTATATATGAAGATTCATCAGTACAAATCACAGGTTAGTATATTTTCTCTCTTTGTCTTGTGATCTTTAGTTCAAGCACAAGTTAATTTATATTTTGCAAAGAGTTTAATATAAGGAGAAGCTTAGACTTTATTGCTTGAATTCAAAATAACTGAAAATTAAATAGCAAATAGCTTAAGGAAATAACTAAAGAAGTTTTGAAACTTGAACAGAAGAAAAAAATAGAAAACTAATTGCTAAAATAAGCTCCCTACATTATTCCCAGCCAGCACAACTTAATTCTTGCCACCTTCAATCTCTTCCTTCTCAATGTCACCAAGAATGGAAGAGACACATGCCTTTTTAGTAGTAGAACCCTGACCTTCAATGTCCTCAGAAACACCATCCATACTACGCTTAGATGAAGGAGTGGATGATGTAGGACCTAAAGGGTCAGTGGTTTCACTACTATTGGTCAGAGCAAGTCCTTCCTGTTACAGTAAGAAAATCAGGATAGTCAATATATAATAGATAATTCTTTCATAGAACGCATCATTAAATTACATAGTTATAAGTATCCATACTTTATTCTCTGAATTGAGTTAACTGATGGTACTCACTATTTAATTGAAACACGATCCAGCCCTTTAGTGATAAACTTGAATAACTTTTTGATAGATTGATTTTGGTTGCACCTACTAAGATTACCTGATCAATAGAGAGGTCATTACGTTGGTCAGTCTGCTGGTCAGAATCTTCAATAGTATCTAGATTGTCAGATTCATTACCCAGCCAAACGGTTGAAACCTTGTAGGTATCATCAATTTCATTGATGTTTTCCTTTCCAACAGTCACCAGAAACTGGAAAGTCTTTCCAACCAAATCTCTGATTTGCTGAGGCAAGTTTGTAGGATCCTGAATCTGTTATGATAGATTAAAAAAGTATATAAGAGATATGAATATTATGGTCTACTTTCCTATTAACAACAGATTTGTTTACCTCATCCCACTTCCCTTCAAGCAAATCCTCTGCAGACACACCGATTATCTCTTGTGCACTTTTATCAAAGATAAGACATTTAGTGTCTCCAGTGCTATCCATTACTCCAACGTTTAAAAGATACCTACATATCAAAGGAACAGGAAAGTAGATTAGATACATAGATTTAAGGCTTTTCTCATGTAGATATATATTAGCAAATCTCAAAGTCCTACCTTGGTATCACCTTAGGAGTGTCTTCCTTACATGTTGGACACCAAAACATTTCTTTCTTACCTTTCTTGACAATCTCATTTTCAACCTTTGGAATCTTATAGGCAGTTTTGCTACACTTGAGGCAACTAAAGAAATACCAAGAATAGTCTGTGTCGATATTCATTATGGTACAAATTATGTTGCACTTTCCAGTCTAAACAAAAAAAATAGATAATTAGTAGTATAGACAGAGAATTTAATAGTTGATAGAAAAAATAATATTATCAAATACTAATACCTCAGAAAAACAAAAGAGTCCAGAGATGGTTTTCCTTGGAAAACGATCATAGTAATCCTTTTTTCTCTGTTCTGCATTCACTTGTTTTGCCTTTGAGTCTTCGATAGTAAGTGGCATAACATCAGGTGGTAAACTATTGTTAACAAATAAAAGAAAATGAAATAAACTTTAGATAATATAAATAGGATTCACAGGTATATATTAGCAAAAGAAATGTGAATTGTAAACATATCTTACTTGGCCACAAACTCAAGAACAGCAAGGTAGTTAGGATTGATTTCCAATAGAGACATATCAAATGAATTTGAAACAGCTCTTTCACCTAAAAACAACAACATATTAGTATTTTCACATATGTTCTGATTTCATTTTTGTTTCAAAATCATGCATTCAGAATCCAGTAACAACATTCTATACCTTTAAATGAGTTGATCTTTGCAAGCCGAAGCAAGCAAATCACTCTCTATGTATAATGCATTTTGACATGCATTATACATTGCCTCAGCAAATCTCCCCCAAAGAGTGCATTTCAGCCTTTCATCACTACAATATAACAAAAATTGTTAGAAACTTTTAAGTATAGATTTATGCATGTTTATATAAAATAAAGTAGATATTGACTGTACTTACTTTGTGTCTCTTAGTTCACACTCAAGTCTCTTTGTGATCTTGTTGTTAACATCATGAGTTTTCATTTCATTGAAACTAACAACCTGACCAAGAACATCTGCAAAATAAGAGAGTAATAAATTATATTTTCATGAAGAAGTTCCTATTATAATAGAAAAAGAAAATATACAATGGAAAGTAGGATAGATATAGTACAAATTAAGATGTTTTCACTCAATCCTGCTTCATTCAAAATATCTGGAAAGTTTGCCAGATCCACATAAATGTCATCAGAAACAGCATGAGTGCGACTTATGACAGTTTTTTCCATCATGGACATCTTGAAACCATGTTTCGTGGCTCGATACTTTCATGTTGATTTGGTTAGTGTAAAATGCTCGATAATACGCCATTCTCAATAAACTATGAACCTTTGGAGTTTGCTCACTTGTGGCTTCTTAACAGTAGCATGAATCAAATTATCCTGACAACAAATAAAAAGAACTCATGTTAATCAAATAGAGTTATTGATGATTGATAAACGTTTATTTGATTGAAAAATGATAGTTCTTATACTTACAGATGTATCAGCAAGAACCATTTCAACTGTCTCCCCTGTGAATTGAGTGTATTGTGTCCACGAATGCACGATCTTAACTTGAATTTTCCAATGTGTTTTGAAGGGCTTAATGTCAGCAAGAGGGGTGAATGCTTGAACAGCTGCCATTTTCTTCGAGAAATAGTGAAGTGGTAATGGTAAAGCTTTGAAAGGTGAATTCTTTCTACTGCAGTATACTATATTTATAGTAATCGTATGGAGCCTTTAGTTTTATTAGGTTTTAGAGAATATAGGCCGTATAAGATAATTTGGGATTAGGATCTTAGAGGTATATGCTTGATTTAGGGAGATTTACTTGTTTGGTATATCAATATCGAACTGAATATGGATATTGAAGAGATTGTGTGATTTTGAATACCAACTAATAAGGGAAATATAATAAGTTAGAATTCTATATCTTTCAATATAGAGAAATTTGAATGATTGAGTTTTGCATTTAAAGAAATTTTTTAAAATTGGCATTGATAGTTTGTGTTGATATGGAAAGATCTTTGCGAGATTTGTGTCTAATTATCGAATAAGTTACAATACTGTATCTTTCCTATTAATATAGGGTAATAGGAATTAATAAGTTTTGCATTTAATTTGCCGTCTACATATATATTTTTACATTGGAATGAATTGTTTGCGGTGATATGGTAAGATTTTTGCGAGATTTGAGTGTAATTAATCAAAAAATTAATTGCTAACTTATTCCCGATTTAGAATAAGTAAAGAATATGCTTGATTTGTTATTATATGGAATAGAAATAAATACGTTTTATTTTAGGAAGTGTAAATTATGAGATTTATAATACCAACTAATTAGGGAAATATAATAAGTTAGAATTCTATATCTTTCAATATAGAGCAATATAAATGATTGAGTTTTGCATTTAAAGAGATATTTTTAAATTGGCATTGATAGTTTGCGTTGATATGGTAAGATTTTTTCGAGATTTGAGTGTAATTAATCAAAAAAGTAATTGCTAACTTATTCCCGAGTTAGAATAAGTAAAGAATATGCTTGATTTGTTATTATATGGAATAGAAATAAATACGTTTTATTTTAGGAAGTGTAAATTATGAGATTTGTTTATTAAGGCAATATACAGAGTAGTTGATTGATCCGGAAAAATAGTTATGGTATTGTTTGATTTGTGTTGCTAATGTTTTTATTTCGTATTATCTACTGCAGATTCGGAAATTTGAAGTAAAAGAGATTAACGATGGGCCTGTAGGAAATATCTAAGCCCAATAGGAAATATAGAATCTCATCGGGTCAGATTCACAGACGCAAAAGATCCGAGTGTAGGATCCGAGATCCGCGTCTCGCCTGCGGGAATTTTACAATTTTACCCCTCCACGCAAATTTTTATTTTGTCTTTGAAATTTTAATTGTAATGGCATTCTCTTGTAATTATTTACACTTTGTAAGGTTATTTTTCATGTAATCCTTCCCAATTAATAGTATAGATTAAATAAAATATTGTGTTCAAATAATAAAAAGATGTTTAATTTCACGGGATGGGGTTATATAGTGGGATGAGTTTGAATCGATATTAATACGGGACTGTATATATATCATAGATGAAATCCTAAATTTAACAATCAAAATACACTTATACAATGTTAAACACTTAACAAAATAAACAATATTAAAGAAAAACAAATACAACTTAAAATTTAATATTTTAGTTAAAAAAATCGACCCGCGGTAATCTAGTGGATACATAGAAAAAAATACCTTCTAGAGTTTGTAGTGTGCTAGTGTTCATTATTAAAGCCTCATTAATACTTTTGAATCATGTGCTGAACATACCCATCTACTTATGATGTATATAAATTGTAGATCAAAGTTGCAAGTAGTTAGAACATTATTGGATATGAACCCGAACATGAAATCGTTTGGGGAGTCCCCTTTTGACAAACCCAAACCCCATATCTCCCCTGTGAAAAACAGAATATAAATTCTTTTTAATTTTAGATCGAAAATGCCGGAAGTTACGATATTACCCCAGGCAAAACTCTAAAACTATACACTAAGACCATGCACATTGGTGATTTATTTTGAGTATCAGTAGCCCAAAAACCATTTTTTAATGGACCAAACCATATATTTGGGCTTGATCCGTATCAGTCCATTGATACCTTTGATACTCAGTATCGGGTGACGTGGCAGTACACGGTTGGTCAGCGAAAACGCGTTTTAGCTGAAAGCAGAGAAAAAAAAAATTTCATTTCCCCTTCTCGATTCTTCTCTCCTCTCCTCTAACGGCGATTCGCCGATTTTTCTTCTTCTCATCCTTTCTCATTGCCGGCAGTTCTCCGTAGATCTCCGTCGAAGAAGAACATGCACATGATTCACCTCTCCGTGTCTCGTCGTCATCTGTCTCCGTGGAGCGTCCGTAGATCTCCGTCGAAGAAGAGCTGTCGGTTGGAGAGAAGAGATCTCTGTTGATTCAGACAACGATGATGAAGATAAGTTTCTTACTGATTTCCTTTTCTCCTGTGTAGATCTAGGTTTAGGGTTTGGGTAGATGAAAGTCTTGGTTTGTGATTAGGGTTTCTGGAAATTCGATTGAGAAGGTTAAATTGGATTAGGGTTTGGTTTTTACTGTGGAAACATTTTCGAAAATCGATTAGGCTTTGGTTATTGATAATTACGGTTTGAAATTGAAAAAAAATTTGTTTGATTTTTGTATTTTTGGAAATTGAATTTCTTGGTGATGGATTGAAATGGTGTTTATGATAGTTACGGATTGCAATTGAGTAGAACCGTATTTTTTTATGATTAAGAACTGTAATTTGTTATCATTATAGAAGGATTTCTAATATTTTGTTGCGGATTTGATTTAAATACTTTGTGTTTGATGTAATATTTGTAACTGATTCTATTGTCTTCATAGTTTTGCAGTTGTGTGTGAGTAAGAGGATGGTGAGAGTGGTCAGATACAAAAAATGATGAGAAGCTGCGTAGGTGAAAAGGTAAACTCCAAAAAATTGTTAATTTTAAGTGCATACTTGAATTTATTGAAACTGAATTGAATTGTGTGTGTAAAACTGAACATTTTTATTGAAACTGAACATTTTTACTGAAACTGAATTGAATTGAATTGAGATTAGGAAGTGCATACTTGAATTGAATAGAGATTATGAAGTGCATACTTGAAATTAATTGATTACACTTTATTGATACCGAACACTTGAATTTAATAGAGATTAGGTAGATATGGTTGAAAATGCAGTTGTCTTTAAATGGAACAATGTATACAGATGAAGTAGATAGTAAATTGAATGTCATCTCTGTGACTTGTTGTTCTATTTATTGTTTGATGCAAACTGTGAGAATAGGTTCTGTTTAATGTTCTTTGTGTCGTTGGTGATGAGACAAAATGAACTTAAACTTAAAGTGGAATTAAATGCAAACTTAACTTAAACTTAAAGTGAAATTAAATGTTGGTGATGAGACAATAGCCATCTAGACTGAAGTTATGTTGATGGCTAGTGTCTCAGTGACTTCAATTACTAAACCAAACATATAAACTTAACTATGGGCCTGATTGGTTGTGTCTTTAGAGTCTTTCCACATCCATATTTTGGTCTACAGCTATAAATCCACATCAATCATACTTTACATTTAATTTTCAGATTTACATCAACATTTTACCTTTTTCCTTTTTTGGGCTGTAGAAACGTCAAAAGCTACATCCGTAAGTTTTGGGCTTTGGAATATATTTTTATTTAAAAACAATAATCAAACCTTGAGCAAAAGCAAATTTGATAAAAAAAAAAACCCTAACTTAAGAATTATATATATAATAATCAAACCTTGAGCAAAAGCAGCCACATAAGAGAGAAGAAGAAAGGTTCGTATCTTTCATAATTTTTGCCCATCCCTTCTTGTGTGATTTACATAACCAATTATTAATTAGTGATTTTTTTTTTGTTTTGTTGCTAATTGTTTTCTATGTGTTTAGTGATTGTTTTTGTTTCGTTGCTAATTTTATTTAAGTTTTAGATGGTGTTTTTTTTGTTTAGTAGTAAAAATTAAAAAGAAAAATCAAAATATATACCTAATATTTATTTCATGTTTTCACTTTAAAAAAGTCACAGCTATTTTTACCAATCATGCTTTCATTTAATTCTACAGTCTAAATTCTACAGCCTAAATTCTACAGCTACAACAGAAAAATCTACAGATAAATTTCTACAGCTAAAATCCTAAAGCTACAGCCGCAACCAATCAGACCCTATAACACCCATATTCAATAGAAAGTAGGTTGATCTTTATTGAGTCTTTGCCTTTATAATGACTCTATGAGAACTAAACAAACTACTTAAACTGAACTAAAACAAAAAATGGCTTCCAACTTTAACTTTTCCTCCTCTCAGTCCTTTACCAATCTGTTGTTCAGCCAAGAAGAAAACCCAATCCTTCTCAGTCCTTCACATCCTCCTTGTTCTGAATCCCAAACACCCACAGCCTTAGCTAGGGCACTTGCAAGTGCCTGGCTCAACACATCCAAAGACTCAGTTGTGGGGAATGAGCAGAGATCATCTGCCTTTTGGGATAGGGTTGCAACATATTATGTTGCATGTCCTGCTGTCTCTAAGCTCACCATCCGAGAGGCAAACACTTGTAAGCAAACACTTGTAAGCATAAATGGCAAAAATGAATGAGCTTGTCATGAAATATGTTGGCTGCTACGAGTATGCCTCTCGGACTCCTGGCAGTGGAGAGACTGAAGATGATATTCTAGTGCTGGCCTACAAGCTTTACCACCAGGATCAAAAAAACCAAATTCAGTCTTGAGCATGTGTAGAGAATCTTCAAGACTGATCAGAAATGGTGCAATTGGTATGAGACAAAAATCAAACCTGTCAAGAAGAAAGCTAAACTTTCTGAGGTAGAAGAAGAGAGTGTTCAAAGGCCTATAGGGGTCAAGGCAGCCAAGGCTTTAGCCAAGTCCAAAGGTAAGGGAAAGAGCCAAGTTTCTGAGGCTGGTTCTGTGGCTGAACTTAAGGGTTTGTGGGAAGTGAAGGAGAAAGATTATGCTGTCAAAGAGAGACTCGCTAAGCAGAAGCTACTTGACAGCCTTCTTGGAAGGTCTAATTGTTTGGGTGACATGGAAATTGAACTTAAGAACACTCTTATCAAAGAGTATCTGTCTGGATTTAATGAGTTGTGTCTGAGAATGAGTATTCTGGTCTCTAGGTATGTGATGTAATATTCTGTTTTTTTTTTGTTTACTTAATTTGTAGTATTATTTGATCTTCTTTGCTTAATTATGTGCATGATCCTCTTGGAAGCTAGTGGTGTCGGCAAGGAAAGGAATCTGGTTCTCTGTTGCTTTAATGTAGGGTTGTGTTGCTTTGTTTTATTCGGATGTACCAAACATTTTCTATTGTCACAATGTATTATTGGTACTTTATGGTAAGATTGTTGTTTTTTTGTTTTTATTATTTTGTATGGTCACAATTGTTTGTATTGTCACATTTCTCTTATATATATATATATATATATATATATATACGTTATGTCTGTGTTCAATTCAAAAAAAACATTTCTCATATTTCTATTACAAAACTCTTCTCATATTTCCAGTGTTTTCACGCCCGACCCGGACCGCCCGGTCCGACCGGTTAACCCACGACCCGGATACTTTTCCGGTTTGGGTTTAGTGCTAATACCCGCCAATTTCAAAACCGGAAAAACCCACAAAAACCCGCCATTAACCCGCGACCCAGTGAACCAGTTGAACCGGCTGGGTATGGGTTTTAAAAATATCATTTGATTTTGGAATAAAATTTGGAGTTTTAGACTCTATTCAATTATTTTTAGAACTCTTTTGTAGTTCTTAGACTCATTTGATGTTTTAGATTTTAATGAAACATGACAGTACCGTCTAAGGAGAATGAATGAAATGGTGAGAAAAATAACCGATATTAGTTGTTTTGAATTCGCGATGTTTTATTAGTTTATTTCTGTTATTAGCGATCTCCTACTATTTTAATATTTGTTACGATTTTAGACTTTTAGTTGGATTTAAAATTTTAATTTGAATTACTTTATTATTATTGTTAGACTTCATATTTTGTAAATATAGTATGAATATTTTTAGTTTTATATTTATAAACATTATATATTCTCTATGAATATTAAATATATTAATTAAATTTTAATCAATTGACTCGTGGTCGAACCCGGTTGACCCAGTGACCCGGTGACCCAGAAGGTAGTCCGGTTCACCGTCCGGGTCGGGTTTAAATGATATTAGAAAGAAAGGTCTATATGCCCTACAGAAATGTACAGCCGCAATTTGGCATCTGGCAATCGCGGATTTCCGGGAATGGTAGAAAGCATTGATTGTATGCATTGGGAGTGAAAGAATTGTCCTACGGCTTGGAAAGGCCAGTATTCACGCAGACATGGAAAACCCACTATCGTTTTAGAGGCCGTGGCATCACAAGATCTATGGATTTGGCATGCTTTTTTTGGAGCTCCGGGTACGTGTAATGATATAAATGTTCTTGACCGCTCACCGGTGTTTAATGATATATTAGAAGGTCGAGCTCCACGAGTCAATTACAAAGTCAATTGACATCAATACAAAATGGGTTATTACCTCATAGATGGTATATATCCGAAGTGAGCAACATTCATCCAATCAATTCCCCGACCACAAGGACCGAAAGCATCATTATAGTTGTCAAGAAGCAGTGAGAAAAGATGTCGAGCGTGCTTTTGGAGTCTTGAAGGCTCGATTTGCTATTGTTCGAAACCCAGGTCTGTTTTGGGATAAAGAGCGAATGGGCAAGATAATGAGAGCATGTATCATATTGCACAATATGATTATTGAAGATGAACGAGATCAAGAGACTCAGTTCGATTTATCTGATTTCGTAGAAGGCGAAGGGAGCGGGACTTCTCATGTGGACAACTCTATTTCTATAGAGACATCTACAGATGTGAACAATATGATGGCCAATCAATGGGGCCAAGGTAATTGACTCCATTGAAAGAAGATTTGATTTAGCATATTTGGCAAAAATGGGGCCAAGGTAATTGACTCGTGGCGACTAAATTATCTTTATCATCATGTTTTTAATGTTTTTTTTTGCTTAAATATATTCTACGTTTTTTTGGATTGTAATATTACCTTTTGTAATCCTATGTTTTTATATATTTATATTCAATTTTGCAAATAATTTTTTTTTATTTATGATACTTAAACCGATCTTACCCATGGAAACAGATTTATTACCAGTATCATAAAAAAAAATCTAAAACAATAAATAAACATTAAAATTAATACTAATAAGTTATTAATGATACTTTATGAGTAGCAACTATGTGCATGCTCTAAACCTGGGTTAATCCACCCAACCAAACTGATTTCGGATCTAACATGAAAACCCACGAACCCTAACTTCTCTCAACGAGCCAACTCCTCTCACGACCGTTTTCTCTCTGTTTTCTACGTTTTTGTTTTCTCTCCTCTCTCCACGACGTGGATTCTCATTCAATTCGTCTTCAATAGTTAAGAAATTCAAAAGAGACAACAGTTATCTCCACAATTTCTCAATTTCAACTAAATATATCTCTCGATTTCGTTGCCAATTCTCTCCCTTTAAATCTCCGTTTTATCTTCGGGAAATCTTTGTTGTCGATTATGGCTGGGAGACTAGTGGTAGTAGTAGAACCTTGTCGGACTCCTCCTCCGATGAGAGTATCGAGAATGAGATAGCAGATGGAAATCGAGTGGAAAATGCGGCGGAGATAGTAAGTATTTGAATTGGGTAATACTGGTATAATAGGGTAACACTATTTGGGTATCTGGGTAAAACTGGTGGAACAGAAAAACAATAAGATATCTTGGTAAAACTGGTAAAACAGGGAATACTATTGTGTGTGATATACATGTATAATTGGGTAATACTAGTAATACAAGGGTATAACTATTTGTTTGATTTCTGGGTAATACTGGTAATACTAGGGTATAACTATTTGTTTGATTTCTAGGTAATACTGGTAATACTAGGGTATAACTATTTGTCTGATTTCTGGGTATTACTGGTAATACTAGGGTATAACTATTTGTCTTATTTCTGGGTAATACTGGTAATACTATTCGGAGATGAGTATTATATGAATGAATGTCTGTTGCAAGAGATCGACGAGGAAACGGAAGCACTACAACTGCTTAGTATGCATTTCCCGCCGTTGGAATATAGCAAGAAAATCAAGCTATCAACTGGAAGTTTATGGACATTGGAAGTTAGGATTTGGATTTAGATTTTTAGAGACTCAATCCAATTAGATTTGACTTATTGTGTTTGGTATGAACATTAGAAGTTTATGCATACTTTCTAAAGGTCGATTAGGTCTTTAAATTGGTAGCAAATGGATTTCAGCAACTAAATTGTAGTGAATTATAGTTTTGAACCCGAAACCATTCAATTTGAGTTCTTGTCGCAATAGACGAACTTGTCGAACTGGGTAGAAATGAATATGAAACTATTGAACAAATATATATATATATATATATATATATATATATATATAACTAGTATTACCCAAATATATGTAGTATGACTAGTTACACTAGTATTACTACAAATGTAGTAGAACTAGTAAAACTAGTATTAGTGACAAAGTTTTTGTATTGTTTTGGCAGGATACAATGAGGGAGAACGTGATCATATATTTCAAATGCGAAGGTCGCATGTATAGCTTGATGATGGAGACATCACGGGAGAAGATAACTCTCTCCATGTTAGAAGCTTACCCAAAATCGAATGCTCGAAATGACTGGAGAAGATGCTACGTCCGTGGAGCCATTTGGGAGAAAATTTCGACTTTTTAATTTATTCACACGGTCCTCTACTTCTTATCTAGCATTGTTATTGGGCACACAAAGACTGGAGAAGATGCTTCGTCCATGAAATCATATTTTCTAAGAGCGTTGTATGATATGACTTATTTTGGGTTGTAATGTTTCTAATCTTTCTTCATTGTTTATATCCCACATGAAATTGATAGTATCATGTAGCCCTGGGCATTCGGTTAATTCGGGTTATTCGGTTCGGTTTGTTCGGTTTTTCATTTTTTCGGTTATTTCAAAATCTCTCCGAATTGAACCGAATAAAAATTCGGTAATCGGTTTATTCGGTTCGATTACAGACATAAAAATCTCTTCCGAATTGACCCGAAATTTTATTTACTTCGATTTATTCGGTTTATTTTCGGTTAACCGAAAATGAAAACAAGCCCATATAACAATTAACAAGCCAATTAACATATTTTCGACCAAATGCAAGGCTGCCGACGGTGACGCTACGGTGGCGGTGATGACACGGTCTGAAATTGGAAGCTCCGATCGTGCAATCTTCATAGATTCACAATCATAATCAACCATCAATATAAACATAAACTGGTCAAAATCATCATCATAAACCAATAATATTATCGGGAAAAGAAACCTTTAAAGACTTGAGGAGGTTCTCGAAGTTGAAGGATTTGACTCTAGTCAGTTGGCAAAGGAACGTTCCAAGAAGGAGGACTACAAATCCCCATTAAGCAAAGTCGTGTCTTGTTCTAGGAGAGCCAAAGGAAAATCGGCTACAAATGGAAGAGGAGAGGCTTAGATCTAGGGATTTATTTTATGTAAAGAGAAACGGCTGCAAGAAGACTAAGCTTTTCTTCCATAAACATTGGGCTTCGTTTAATTTTATAAGTATTGGGCTGTATTTTATCAATTTTAAATGTGAGTTTGTTTTAGTGGGTTTTAAAAGAACAGTTATGATAATATGGGTTGGGCTTTCGATTATTGTTTGTTTATAATTTCAAGTTTAAAGCCCAGCCATATTAAATATTAGGGTTTTTGTTTATCGTCTCTCTCATACATTATGTTTCACGCGGCCGCATGTTTGAAAAACAGAGTAGCAGACCGGTGTAGGAGAAGAAGAACTATGAAAAATGGGTAATGAAGGAGAAAACCGAATAACCGATCGGTTTTACTCTTCCCTAATTCTCGGTGCCGATAACCGAAATATTCGGTTTCCTCGGTTCGGTTCTTTCGGGTTTGGCCGAATGCCCAGGCCTAGTATCATGGTAGCTGGAGGTGAAGAAGAATATACCTCCAGCTACCATGATACTAGGCCTATGGTTGTTGTTTAGATTTGTACAATTGGTAATACTAGGTAAGACTATGTTGGTTTTGTTTTTTGATTTGTACTACTGGTATTACTATTTAAAATTATGTGCACCGTCAAATTTATACATGTGCAAGTCAAATTTACACATGTGCGCCGTCAAATTTGGGGGAAAACTCCCATTTTTGGGACACGCCGTTTTTTTCACGTGTGCGCCGTTTTTTCAACAGTGCGCAGTCTTTTTTACAATATAGGCTCTGATTGGTGATAAATAAAAAAAAAACAAATAGGAATAGGAAAAAAAATGAACGAGAAGGAACAAAAAAAAAAAAAAAATGAGCAAAATGAGGAACCAAAAGGAACATAAAAATTGAACAAATGATATGGTAAATAGTAACCAACAACTTGAATAAATAATTATTAAAAAATTATTTCTTCTATTTAATTTATAAATTTCATTTTAAATTAATATTTTATATAAATTTTAAAATAAAATATTGTAAAAATTCAAATATTTTATTTAAAAATATATAAATTTCACTTAAAAGTATTTATTTATTTATTGAAGTATAAATACTAATTTAAAATAAAGTCACAATATTCCTTTAAATTATTTTTTTTGATAAAGGTTTTTTATATATAAATATAAAATAAAAGTATGGAAAAGATTTATATATAGAAGTGTAAATATTATCATAAAAGCTATTTTAAAATTATTTAATAATTAAAAATGAATTTTATAATTTTGTTCTTCTTTGTTCCTCTGCAATTTTGGATAGGAACAATTTTGTTCTATCATTCTTTTTTTTTTTTTTTGAGGAATAGAGAGGAAAAATGTAGGATCCACATGTCTGAAAATTGAACAAAAATTACTTACAAACGATAAAAAAATTGAGGAACATGATATTCCTACTCATTATTTTACTCAAAAATGGTTACCAATTGGATCTATAGTTATACCCAAGGTATCAGTTGTACCAATTTTTCAAATAGTTCTACTTTCGGTATTTTTCAGTTAAACCAGTATTATATAACCTTAAAATTTGTTTATCTAGTTGTACACTTGATTGAAATCTATAAATATATAATTCTTACTTTTTTATGTAATCATATGTTAAAAATATATAAAACTGTAACTTTTTCATCCTAAGTTGGTGATTATATAAAAAGTGAGCTTAAAAGTATAAGGAATATGTTGTATAGAGTCCATTACAACAATCCAATATAATATATTTTTGTTATTTCTCACTTAATTTATTTTAAATCATTTTTAAGAGTTCATTATCACATATTAATTGGTGTAATATTTAGTGTTGGAAAAAACAAGTTCAAAATTCAATTTTTTTTTCATATGTTATACTAGTTCTATCAGTATTATCAAATCTCGTCCTTAGTATTACTTGTTGTACTTGTCTTCCCCATTTACCATAGAAAGAAGACATAGTATTACATCAAGAAAAACTAGTGTTACATAGTTGTCCAAGTCGAAACTGTTTTACAAATCATAAACTGCTGATAAAATAAAATACTACGATTGCCAAATAACAACCATTGACACGATTGCCTCGGCCTCCTCTTGTTTTGCGTCCTTAAACGCCTTTCTCTAACCGATGGAAACATTTTTACTTTACTTCTTCCCTTCTTTTTACTAGCGAGAAGGAGGGATAATTTCATCCTCTTGAATAGAATCATCTTTTTCTATTGCCTCATGTTGTTGCTTCCTTTTTCCTTGTCTACGTACAAATTGATGGCATTATCTCTGATTTCATCTTTATTTGATTCCAATTCCACATAGTTCTTACCAACCGAACTTTTATCCACTCTCGACAGTTGCTCGGGCAATTCTGGTTTAGTGATGACCTCCACAAACAAAACATATCTACGGTTATTTTCACCTGAAGCTATATAGACACCGACATCCTCATCATCACAAATGTTCATCTCTTCATCTAGTCCCAACAGCAGTGCATTGTATCTCATTTGCAATTTAATCCTACTTTCATCTAACACAAGCTTCGTGTATATCTTACCTTCTAACATGAAGAGAGTTATCTTCTCCCCTGATGTCTTCATCATCAAGCTATACATGCGACCTTCGCATTTAAAATATATGATCACGTTCTCCCTTATTGTATGCTGCCAAAACAATACAAAAACTCTGTCAGTTATACTAGTTTTACTAGTTGTACTACAATTCTGGGTAATAGTAGTATAACTAGTCATACTACATAAATCTGGGTACGTAATATTAGTGTAACTAGTCATACTTCATATATTTGGGTAATACTAGTGTAACTAGTCATATTACATATATCAGTAACACTAGTGTAACTAGTCATACTACATATATTTGGGTAATACTAGTGTAACTAGTCGTATTACATATATTTGGGTAATACTAGTGTAACTAGTCATACTACATATATATCAGTAACACTGGTGTAACTAGTCATACTACATATATATTTTTCAATCGATTGAGGTTCATTTCTACCAAGTTCGACCAGTTCTACTATCGCGAGAAGAACTCAAATCGGATGGTTTCGGGTTCAAAACTACATTTCACTATGATTCAGTTGCTGAAATCCATTTCTTACCCATTTATAGACCTATTCGACCCAGAAACTATACATAAACTTCCAATGTGTATACCCAAACACAAATAGCTAAATCTAATTGGATTCAATCTCCTACATGTCTAAATCCTAAACTTCAATTTGAAGCTCTATGCAGCTAAAGGAACATACATGTCTCAACGAAGCTCGCCGGAAAGGAAGAAACGGCAACAATGGAGACACAGATCTATGGCGGAGGAGGAATCGGAGCTGTCTCGTCGGAGCTCGAGCTCGAGAACGAGGAGAACTTTTTTTTCTTTTTTTTTTGTTTCGTTTTTTTTTTCAATTTCAAATTAATTAAATTAAAAAAAAATAGAAGGGCAAAATCGTCTTCACACATTTGCTTAAATGAGAAAATGATATGTAGACTAAGTAAGGATATAAGAGGTTTGTGTTTGTCAAAAAAGGACTTTAGAGATGATTTCTCGAACCCGAACTAGCGAGACCCAAAGCGTTTCTTTACCACACCCTTTCGTTTTTGCACAGTCTCCGGCCGGCGTCGGCCATCGTTACCTTTCTTCTTCTGTTGCTTGTGTATAGATTTAGGTTAATAACAATCTTCTCTTTGCTTGTCTTTCTCGAAGATGATTACAAGGGCAAATTGCATAATCTGCCTTTTTCTTCTTCGCGCAAGTGATTTTCCGACCAGTTTCTCCAAATGTGTTAGAGCAAGTGTCGGTTTCCTTTTGTTGGGAAATTCCCCAGGCGATTTTCTTTTCCAATCTATGGAATTTGAAATTCGTTTTGAGGAAACCGCCATGGACAATTGATTGTAAATTTGCCTCTGTTGCGTGTCAATATCGGAACATCTCTTATCTCTAGTCTAAATCGAGTGAAAATTACATATGCAAGAAGCAATGAATTAACTTTGGATTTGCTGATGTTTTGATTACTATATTGGTCGATGTCTATGTAGGAGAAACGACAATGAATCGATGCCTTCTAGTTCTCAACCTATCTAGTTTGTCCTTTAAGGATAGCTTGAAGACCAATGCTCATTTGAGTCGCTGGAAATGTGTTTTTCATTATTATATCATTGGTACGTGCCACCAATCTAATTGGGATTTTCTCCAATTTGAGAAATGGTGATCAATTTAAGATCTGGAATTGGAAAGCGAGTAATTAGGTTTATATTGATTATTGGATGGGATTACGGCTGCATCAATTTAGCTTTGGTTGGATTGAGATGTCCAAACTACATGTGGGCTTGGTTAAATATTGGCGACAAGATTTGATTGGTATTGTTCAGATTTGGTCGTTGAGGAATGCATAAGCGACATTGATGGGAATCTATTGACATGAGAGGCTCGGGCACTTGGGATGATACGGCAAAGCTGTTTGTGGTTTTGTCGAAGGGAACTTAAAAGTCGACATATTTCATAAAGACCTTGGTACGGAAATATTTGTGCCACTGTGTCTACATTTCAGAATTAGATCTGGACACATCGGGTTTAACGCTACGATTTGTGAAAAAAAGTTTCAGCCACAAGTTGCTGCATACAAATCGTAACAAAGAGAATAAAATATGAAGTTGGTCAATAACGGATCTTCTGATCGGTTAGCGAGTAAGACTACTCTACGGAAATCATCGTCAAACTCCCTTATGATGTATTTTCTTAGTGTATGGCACATACATCTGCGTATGTAATAATTGTGTTACAGTAGTTTTGTATATGTATTTGTAATAACTCTTTTAAATTCAATGAAAGTTTGTTTTGCCGAAAAAAGGAGAGGATATGAACCCTTTCCGATTACGGAAACTAGGTGCATCACATGTTGGTACCATAGCAAAAATATGTGTTCCATCGATGGCTCCGATGCAATTCTATATATACTAATAAAAAATTTCATATGCTAATCAATCTCAATAAACAATTTTAAATAAACAATTATCTTGAAATGAGGATAAAAACTTGTACTATCTCTTATTTTCGCATTTACTCTAACTTCAGATTTAACCATCCAACATGGCACAATGAAAGCTAATGCCTCAAGTGCCTTATGAAAATCTATGTTTGTAGTATATTTGATCTGTTATAATGTGTCCACTGTGTAACAATATCTTGAGGTTTGACCAACCGTGAGTAAAAATGTAGCCAAATTTTCTTTGACACATATGTATCGCATATCTCTTAGCTATGTTTTCACTCTTATGACATCGCAAAATTTATGAAATACATCTGGATCAATACAATATAACTGTCGGAATGCTCATGATTATCTGTGAGAGCATTTTGGATATAATCATACCTAGAATTTGAGATTGCTCGACGAAGTGGACGATTAATAAAAGTATTCGTTGTTGCATTTTTTGAAGATGTACTTGTTGCTGATGGAGTTGTTGAAAGAGTCAAGAAGTAATACAAGATTTTGTTTGATGGAGTTGCTGAATGATTAAAAAAGTAATTCAAGATGCGACTATTTTTGTGTAAGTGTCGGTTTCTAGAAGATTTGAGCAGATATGTTTGGAGCGTGTTTAGAGGACGAATCAAAAAGAAAAAAGAACTTAAAGAGATTTGGAAGACTTGATGAAAGTGAAGTTTGATGAGAAAAAAGAAAAGTGTAAAAGGAAATTTACTCTTCCTTATGGAATTTGGAAATCTTCTCTTCTGGTTATTAGGAAATCGTTTTGGCTATATAAAGAGGTGTTGAGGACGTCATGGAGAAGTAAGAGAGCTGAGGCATAGAGACAAATCATTGAGAGCTTTTTGAGGGTGTGTACGACATAGTTCGCAGTTTTGTGCGACATAGTTTCGCGGTTTGATGCTTGTGTGATCAAGCTTATTTGTATGTTGGTGTAACGTTCGTGTGTGACGGTTAGTCCAGAGACTTGAAGAATTGAAGTCTACGCTCAGGGGAAGTTTAGCTCAGGGTTAGGTTATCCTGATTAAATCTAGACTCAGAGGGAGTTTAGTTAAGGGTAGAGATTATTTATAAGGTTTCACGTTATAGAAAGGAGTGGTAAATCAAGAGGGTTGCGCTTGTTTTACGCATTTGCGAATTGATTGTAATTTGCTTTCTTGTTCTAGTGAAATCAAATCTGGACTTAGTCCCGAGGAGTAAGAAAATCCGAACCTCGTTAAACAAATTTTTTGTCTCGTTTAATTTCTACACTTTATTATTACCTCATCCGCATTAACATTTTCTGATAACAAAAGAATAATGTCTAAATCTAACTCGTCATCTTCTGTTTCATTTTTTTTCTATGTCGTGTAGTTTCTCTTTCCTCCTCAACAATGTGCTCCATGTTAAACACTTTCAAAATAATAAATATGTTAATTAGGAAAACCGGTCATTTCATACCCCAGCTAAAGTACTATGTTCAATTCATACCCCAAATTTACAGTTGTGCAAATCCATACACTAACTATTCGTAATTTCAAATTCACTTCCCAAACTAACTAATTCGTGCTAGTTTATACCCAAGCCGTGACGGTGTTAGAAGTCCGTCAACGGTTGCTTACGTGGATGCCACGTGTGAACGACGTCGTTTTGTGATGGACAAAGAGACAATAAAATTTTGGTAAAACGACGTCGTTTTACGTGAGTCTTCTTCTTTTTTGGGAAGTGAATTTTTTTTGTTGGAAAATAGATGGTTTTTGAGGAAAAACAGACCAAAAGAAACAATAACTATCAGTACCAAAAAAACAATAAATATCAGTACCATAAAAGGACAACGACATTATCATTCACCATTACATAACCAAACAGAACCTAAAACACCATTACATAACCGTAAAAGTTCTCCTGAGATTATAACAAAAACTTTCAATCTCCTGGGACTTAAGCTTAAGCTCTGTATACTCCTCATATGGAAACTTAAACCAAATGCGTTGCTGACAAAGAGACTCGTTCAACGACTCCATCAAATTGGTCAATAATGCTTGTGGTTTGCTTTCAAGGCTGAGAATCCCTCCTCCAACATGCTAACTTTATTCCCATTATCTACTATAAACTTCCCACCGTAGTAGCATTGGAAACTTGCATCGTCTTCATTGCTGAAAATGAAAGAAAAAAATGATTTTTTCGTTTTGACATTTTATCGAACACTTGGTGCTCATAAAAATTACATAGTCAATTCTTAACTCAAAACCTTAAAACACCCATCAATCTCATCCAAACTATAGAAATACACACAAAATCCATCGCATTTTATAACAATACACTCGCAATTTGATCGTTTGATAAAAAACCCCAATTTTTAAAACCATAAATTTGAATGAAACGTACCTCATTTTTCCTTCCACTCAAATATAGAATCTCCTATTCCACTAACAGAAGCTCTTCACGTCCTGCAACACGTCTTTCATGTAGCTTCAACTCGTAACAGAATCTCTTATTTTCGACTTAAGATCTTAAGGAACATTGTCGGGAGAGAAAGAAATAAAAGTTGAAGAAGGTGAAGACTCACGTAAAACGACGACGTTTTACCAAAATTTTATTGTCTCTTTGTCCATCACAAAACGACGTCGTTCACACGTGGCATCCACGTAAGCAACCGTTGACGGACTTCTAACACCGTCACGGTTTGGGTATAAACTAGCACGAATTAGTTAGTTTGGGAAGTGAATTTGAAATTACGAATAATTAGTGTATGGATTTGCACAACTATAAATTTGGGGTATGAATTGAACATAGTACTTTAGCTGGGGTATGAAATGACCGGTTTTCCATGTTAATTATAATACGTTAGACATCGTGCTAATTAGAGAAGAAACTATAAAATTGCATATGAAGAGCCATCTAAACAAATAAACAAGTGATTAGCAATAAAGATAGCATGATTATTTTCATGTACCACTATACGTTAGATTATAGTGTGAACTTTGAAGTGAAGGTACAAAATAAAATAAAAATGAAGATGAAAATTTCATATCATAATTTTTAACACAAACATCCACTGAATATATAAGAATAACCATGAAACAAATAATCTAATGAAGAAGGATGATAAAAGGACAAACAAAAAAGCCCAAAAATACGAAAGAAATCATAAAAATTAATTTTATTTAAATCTCCCAAATGGGCTTCAGCCATGTGTTTCTATAGTTACAAAATCAGAAAAGTTAATCGAAAAGATAACGACGGTGGCTGAGATTTGATTTGAATGGCTGACGGAAAGCAGAATCTCCCACCTACTAGAACCGACGTGCACAAGGTCCACTATGATGCATGTAGCTACGAAATCAGAGACAAGATCTTTGACCAGAGTGCACGGTTTCTATCGCCGATCTGTTTCTGATGTGTAGCTAACCCTCCAACAAACCTCCCATAATAGTTCAAAAAGCCGACTAACCACGCCCCTTCATCGATTCCCCAACTTAGCAAATCGATGAATGCAAGATCTAATCCTCTTCTGCAGGACCGGCCCAATACTATGGACTGCCTAAAGCAAAAAACAAAAATTACCCAAAAATATTAAAACTATTGTTTGAGAGGCTCGAACCCGGATCATGAAAAAAGGTAAAATCCAGAACAACTACTATGTTATAAGTGATTTTATTAATTTGATGCCCTCAAAATCTTATAGTATATATTTTGGTGCCTAAACCCCTTGCTTATTAATATCATACAACAATAGTAGCCAACCACATTTTAAATTTTAAAATAAAGATATATACAAATTTTGTTATCAAATCTGATACTTCAACCGTAATTTTTTTTTATTAATTAACGTTACTTCAAAAAAAACACCGCGGTAGGGATTAAAATATTCAAAACATTTGTTTTGTAATCCTTGTAATAAAGCGAATAATACATAAAACATAGAAACTTCACATTTGGTGAAAGCAAACAATCAAAAGATTGCTTGATTGAAATTAGATTATTCAAAATAAAAAGTTAACCTGCAGGTTCGAAAACCTTGTTATTATTAGACGAGATTGCTTGATTGAAAAAGATTATTCAAAATAAAACATGGGAGACAACACACGTAGTAAAGTGGTGGAGATACGAGAGAGGCGCTTTAACCAACATGCATTATAGTTCAAGGACGTCACTTGGTGATTGGTGCGACACTGACCCCAATCTGATAGAGCTCGGGACTAGATTTTCCATGGAACCCTACCACTTTGTGACCTTCCTTCCCGAGTATGAAGCTAACGCCAGCATCCATTCCAAAAGGCGGCGAGGTTCGTTTATTGGTCTTGACTCTTGAACTTAAGCATGACTACTACTGAAGATTCACTTCCAAATACTTTATCATAATATCCCTCCACTGTTGTGATGTATTCACTCGGATACTCCAACTCGAACTGTGAAAGCGGTTCATCAGAAAAAACAATAACACAACTTTATAGTTATAGTTTAAGGAAGAATGTTTGTAAAGATTAGTTCTCTAAAAAGAAAAACTTTAAGGTCTGCTGACGTGGCAAGGGAGAAATACCCTGAAGGCTCTCCCTCTGCGGAGATCATAGAGATGGCCAGTACGATGGATCAAAGGGGGCTGCCAGAAAAAAATGAACACGAAACAAAGAAAGGAAGTGGAAGCTGCACAGCGGGAAGCAGACACAACCCAGAAACAATACCTGCAAGACCTGTTTTGCCTTGCTTTGCTACCGGGCTTCTAGCTGCCCTTCCTCCACCGTTAGCATAACAAAAATTAGTGTTCTTGTGGATAATTTAATTTTGATTGAGTTATTAATATATTTTAAGTGCGATTAGGGTTTTTGCGGATCTAGCACATATGCTGCCGCCGGCGGCTTCTCCGGCCATTACCGGGGAGGTTTTGTTGTCGGAGGAAAGGGTTGATTCATCTCTAGAGGTTACTGTGGGTTCTATGCACCAGGCGGACGGTTTAAATGATTCAGAGAAGGAACAAGAGCAGAGCAGTGAGTAGATCTCAGAGGCTCTGGATGGAGGTTTAAGACAGGAGGGTTTAGAACAGAAGGAGATTTCTAGTCAGGGAGAACCAATGGTGATACCAGGAAAGGTGAATCCGATGGTTAAAAAGTCATGGGTACAAGTAGCTCAAAAACATACTTTTACTAAGCAAAAGTTCGTTGTTGACAAAGTGGATGGGAAGGAGACAGTCACTGTCCCGAAAGAGGTTTTTGTCAATGCAAAGCCTCTATGGGAGGATTTTGTGATTGGTAGATTTCAAAGCACCAAAGCTCCACATGTGGGAAAGATTCAGATGATAGTGAATAAAATATGGAGACTAGGAGACAGAACAAATTTGATTGATGTGTTTGAGGTTAATGAAACAACAATAAAGTTTCGCTTAAGAAATGAGGCTATGAGAAGAAGGGTCCTGAATAGAGGCATGTGGAATATCATGGATATCCCTATGGTGGTCTCGAAATGGACTCTGTATGCGGAAGAAGCTCAGCCAGCAATGAAATCAATCCAACTTTGGGTTACTCTGAAAGATGTCCCTCTCTCAATGTTTACCGACAAGGGTCTAGAATTTTTAGCGAGTGCAGTGGGGAAGCCAAAAAGGCTGCATCCAAAAACTGAGGCTTGCGTTAGTTTTGAGGAGGCTCAGATTTTGGTGGAAGTTGACTTAACAAAGGAGCTGCCAAAAGAATATATATTCACCGGTGAGGAGGAAGGTGAACTTGACGATGTAGTTCAATATTCTTATCCTTGGCTACCACCAAGATGTAGTTGCTGCGAGGAATGGGGTCACTTGAAGGAATCTTGCCTGGCCGCCAAAAAACCAGTTCAAACTGGCCAAAGTGAAACTATCTCACCAGTGGTCGAAACAGAGCATTTGGTCTCTCAAAGGACTCACACTACAGAAGTTGTAGGAGGAGAGAGTAGTGTAGTACCTCCGATTTCAGACAAGAAAGAAACAGAGCAAATTCTAATAGATAATGGTGAAGTGAAAGGCGATGATCAAGGTTGGATCACACCTCCAAAACACAACCGCAGTCCGAAGAAGAAACAAAAGGATTTAAAGTTTGGTGAGTCTCGATTTTATCGAACTCATACTCTGTTTTAAGTGGGCAAGAAGTATTGGATGAGGATAAAACAATTGTACAGGATGGAGGAGACGAGAAGGAGGGTCTCCCACAAACTTTAGACCCATTAGGAGAATCAACAAGTAACACAGGAACAGAGGCTGCAGTCCATAAAAAGGAGCTACCTCTGCGTCAGTCACTGCCACGAGGATCCAAAACAGCTCACAAAGCGGTTTCGGTCTCCACTACTCAGCCTTCTAGGTTTTTTCCTAAGGATCAGAGTAAGCGTACCTCTCAAAAGCATCATTAATGTCGGGCTTCATCTGGAATGTTCGTGGCTTAAACAAATCAATCAAACATTCCGTTATCAAGAAGTTGATGGAAGAGCAGAGTTTTCAGTTTGGATGTTTTATTGAGACAAGGGTGAGAGAGAGTAAGGCTCAAAAACTGAGTAATAACCTGTTTCCAAATTGGTCGGTCTTGACGAATTATGAGTATAGTAGAAGAGGACGTATATGGGTAGTATGGAGAAGCAATGTCAGGCTTAGTCCGTTCTACAAAAGTGGACAACTTATTACTTGTTCGGTGAAATTGGAGAATGTCGAAGAGGAATTTTTTTGCTCGTTTGTATACGCATCAAATCTTGCAGAACAACGAAAAGAATTATGGAGTGAATTGAAAGATCATGCTGATTCCCCGATTATACGTAACAAACCTTGGATAATTTTTGGTGATTTTAATGAGACACTGGACATGGAGGAACACTCGAGAACGGAAAGTAACCCGGTTATAACTTCTGGTATGCGAGATTTTCAGTTGGCAGTCAACCACTGCAAGCTTTCCGATATGGTCTACCATGGACCACTCTACACTTGGTGTAACAAAAGGGATCATGATCTAATTCTGAAAAAAAATTAGATAGGGTCTTGGTGAATACTAAATGGAATCAGATGTTCTCACAATCATATAGTGTATTTGAAGCAGGGGGATGCTCCGACCATTTGCGTTGTCGGATTAATTTCAACATGGCCGCTGGTTTGGAGGTAAAGGGACGCAAGCCATTCAAATTTGTAAATGCTATAACCCAAATGGAGGAGTTTAAGCCACTGGTTGAGAGTCGCTGGAATGAAACAGAGGAAATCTTTATGTCGACATCGTCTATGCATAGATTTACAAAGAAACTCAAAGCGTTGAAGCCTAAAATCCGCAGTTTGGCCAAGGAAAAAATGGGAAACCTAGTGAAGCAAACGAAAGAGGCTTATGATTGCTCTGTAAGAAACAGGAGGAAAATGCTGCAAACCCCTCACAAAGAGCCATGGAAGACGAATCTGAAGCTTATAATCGATGGGAACGAGTAGCCGGTCTTGAAGAGAATTACCTAAAGCAGAAATCAAAGCTGCATTGGTTAATGGTGGGTGATAAAAATAACAAAACTTTTCATCGTGCAGCAGAAGCAAGGAAAGCTCAAAACACTATTCGTGAGATCCAAAGGCAAGATGGTACAGTCACAGTGAAAGGAGATGAGATAAAAGCAGAGGCAGAGAGATTCTTTAGAGAATTTCTTCAACTGATTCCGAACGATTTTGAGGGAGCTACGATGGAGGAGCTTCAAGACCTATTGCCATATCGATGCTCAAAGGAGGAGAAGGAGTTTTCAATAAAACCAGTCACGGCAGAGGAAATAAAAAAAAGTCTTATTCACCATGCGAAATGATAAATCTCCGGGTCTGGATGGTTACACTTCTGAATTTTACAAGGCAACATGGGATATCATCGGAACAGAGTTTGTAGTGGCGATACAATCATTTTTTGAAAAGGGTTTTTTACCAAAAGGAGTCAATTCTACTATTCTCGCTCTTATCCCAATGAAGATGGAAACAAAAGAAATGAAAGATTACAGGCCAATCTCGTGTTGCAATGTGACCTACAAAGTCATCTCAAAGCTCATAGCAAATCTGCTCAAATTGGTGCTACCCAATTTCATTGCGGGAAACCAATCGGCTTTTGTAAAAGACCGGTTATTGATAGAAAATCTGTTGTTGGCAACAGAACTAGTCAAGGACTACCACAAGGACTCTATCTCGAGTCGATGTACCATAAAAATTGACATCTCCAAAGCTTTAGATTCAGTTCAATGGCCGTTCCTCAGAAATGTTCTTTTATCTATGGATTTTCCCACGGAATTTATTCAGTGGATCATGTTGTGTGTCACCACAGTGTCGTTTTCAGTCCAAGTAAATGGCGAGTTAGCGGGTTTCTTTCAAAGTAAACGAGGGTTAAGACAGGGATGTTCTCTATCTCCTTATTTATTTGTTATGAGCATGGACGTTCTCTCCAAGATGCTAGATAAAGCTGCTGGTTCAAAAAAATATGGCTACCACCCGAGATGTAAAGAAATTGGTCTAACACATCTTAGCTTCGCAGACGATCTCATGGTTCTCTCTGACGGTAAGGTGCGATCTGTCGAAGGAATTGTGGAAGTTTTCGATGCTTTTGCTAAGCGATCAGGGCTTAAAATAAGTATGGAGAAATCGACGATCTACTTAGCGGGTGTTTCAGACTTAACTAGTCAGGAGATAAAGGATAGGTATCGGTTTGATTTTGGTCAACTACCGGTAAGATACCTGGGGTTACCGCTGGTCACCAAACAGCTCACCGCGATGGATTACAATCCCCTGCTAGAGCACATTAAGAAGAAAATAGGCTCTTGGACTGCTCGATATCTCTCTTATGTAGGCCGCTTGAACTTAATAACTTCGGTTCTGAGGAGCATCTACAACTTTTGGCTAGCTTCTTTTCGACTGCCTAGAGAATGCATACGAGAGATTGACAAACTATGTTCTGCTTTTCTCTGGTCAGGTCCAGATTTAAATCCACACAAAGCAAGAATCTGCTAGGACACTGTTTGCAAGCCGAAAATAGAGGGGGGGCTCGGGCTGAGACCTTTGAAAGAGGTAAACGATGTCTGTTGTTTAATGTTAATCTGGAGGATCGCTTCCCATGCAAACTCACTATGGGTCAAATGGATTGAGAGGTATTTACTTAAGAAGGAGACGCTCTGGTCAATTAAAGCAACCACAAACAGAGGCTCTTGGATGTGGACAAAGTTATTTAAGTACAGAGACAATGCAAAGTAGTTTTGCAAAGTGGAAGTCAAGAATAGAAGAAGGACGTCATTTTGGTATGAAAATTGGTCAACTCTGGGCCCTTTGTTGGATGTCGTAGGAGAACGGGGAATTATTGATCTCGGTATTAGCAGCCATATGACTGTGGCTGACGCATGGTCTGGTCGGAGGCAAAGACGACATCAAGTAGCACTTCTAAATCGAATAGAAGAGGCTCTTCTGTTGCAGAAACATAACCGGGTAGATGAAGAAGATAAGGTACTGTGGAGGGGAGTAAACGATACTTACAAAGACAAGTTCCTCACAAAGGAAACTTGGAGACAGACACGTTCAGTTTCAAACAAGGTACCATGGTACGAAGGAATTTGGTTTGTGCACGCAACACCGAAGTATTCTTTCTGCGCTTGGCTTGCAGTGCAAAACAGGCTCTCTACAAAGGATCGAATGCTCCAATGGAACAGAGGGCTGCAAGCAACGTGTACACTCTGCAACAACAACTTTGAAACAAGGGACCATTTATTTTTCTCTTGTAGGTTCGCAGCTGAGGTTTGGGAAAACTTAGCCAAGAATATCTACAAGGCAAGATTCTCTACAAATTGGTCGGCTCTGATTGCTACGGTTTCTGGTCAATGGCAGGATAGAATTGAGAGTTTCATTGCTCGATATCTTCTCCAAGTGACAGTTCATACCGTATGGCGGGAGAGAAACGGAAGAACTCATGGCGAACCTCCGAATCCCGGCTCTCGCTTAATCCAATGGATTGACAAGCAAGTTAGGAATCAAATATCAACAATCAAAGCAATTGGGGATCGACGCTACGAAAAGGCCCTCCAAATTTGGTTTCAATCAAGACCTTGACCACATCAGTTTATAAGCTAAAACACTTTCACTATTAAATTTTCAACAAAAAGTTGCACTTGATGTACAAACGTTATTTTCTTTTTTTGAGTTTAATTTAACATCAAATTCAAAAAAAAAAAAAAAAAAAAAAGGAAATAGCAACGAAGTAGTATAATCACCTCTTCGTATCCAAGCAAAGTCTGCTTTCCATGCTCTTCTCCTAGTACCAACCGGTTGTTCTTGTCATACACAAACTTGACAGATGCAATACCATTTTCACCTTGTCCCACGTATATCTTTCTCACACCGTCGAAAGCTCCATCGTCCCATGATTCTCCTCTGTCACCACCTGGTCCTTGTAGTTTCTCCGTGGGAGGAGGAGGAGGAATAGGAGGCGCAGCAAAATGTGCACCTATAGCATCAATAGCAAAACCACCCCTTCCATGGAGCCAGGGCCGGCCCTACGAGTTATGGGGCCACAAACAATTACGGTTTGGGGGTCTCATAATCTATATATAAATTTTTTTTTTTTACTGTTTGGGGGCCCCAAAATCTATACATATTACTCGTTAAAAATTTGGGGGCCCAACACGAATGTTTCACCCGACAAGAGCCCTACCTCTGCTCTCAAACACGAAAGTTCGCTCACCCTTATGTCCATATGTAGGAGATGTTCTGTCTTTTGATGTCTTGAAACTCAACGACCTAACTCGGTTTGAACTGCCAGATCCTATGTCACCGGTCCCCTCGATTGATGTAACATATTCATATGGATAGTCAACTACAAACTGCCAAAAACAAATAAAGGGTTTCTTCGATTTATATACTTTCAAAAATTGAAGGAATAAACGAATGTTCAATGATCCTTCCCATTTATGATTTCCTCTTGATGTATTCTATTAAAGTTTTATCATTTTACCAAAAAAGAAAAATAAAAAGTACGGAATGTTTAAAATAGAACCTCGTTTTGTTGTCCTAGGACCCTATTTTCTCCTAACATATCCCCGTCTTGACGCGTTTCCACTTCTCCGTTTTTGTCGTAGTCGACCTTGATATGCGATATCCCAGAGGGACTATATGTGTAACATAGACTTTTCTTACGCCGGTGTAAATACCATGGTCCCATGGCCTGCCTCCAGTAGTACTGCCTTGGTATTCCAGTTTAATAGGAGCAAGTGGTGTGAAATAAGCTCCAAGAGATTTTAGGTTTGCCTCAGCAGATCCATGGAACCCAGTGATTTTGTTTCCACTGACTTCAAGTGTAAAGTTATTGCCATTGTCATCGTATCCCATGACTTCAGAACTTCTCTGATTGGTTTCGAATTGAAGTGCTTGAATCACACCAGATATGTTATCATAGCAACCCTTTACCGACACCAGATGTTCGTCATTGAGATGATTAATCTCAAACTGTGAGAAAAAAAACAAAAACATTACAACTTGATCAGTAATATATCGTATATATATAAACTAGATTAAGACCCGTCTGATATACGGGTTTTAAAACTTTTTAAAAAAATGAAATTTAACAAAAATATATATTAAATTATTTGTTATAAATATAAAAAAATTTAGTTAGAACAAAAAGTTATTTATACATTCGTTTTTTTGCATTAATACACTAATTTACATTTCTATATTTTAAATTTATTGTAACATTTAGTACATTAATCTAGTAAATTTAAATTATCCATCACCAAATCATTTGCCAATTATTTATCATTATTATTATTATTATCAAATCTCATAACTTCTTCAAAGAATATTTTATAGATAAAGCATTGGTCAAATCATCATCTTATATATTTATATCCATTTACAAATCTACTATCTACTTTACAACTAAAATATATTATTAATCCCAAATATATTTTACTCTTGAAGTATGCTTGTTACCACCACCCACAATATGCTTATATGAACATATTAAACCAACTATATAATATAGGGTCAGCAGTAAAAATAATTACAAAAAGCCAAAAATATCTATTGATCTCATATAAAGAAATAAATAATATGAAAAATTAATTTAGATCATTACATATTTCTAATTGGAAATGAAATTGAAATCAATAATCATATATATGAAAGGAGGTTATCTCTCTCCATATGGTCGCCACGTCAGCATTTTAGGCTCTTCTGGAGATGCCACATCAGCTTTCTTTCCATCCAATTAAAACATTTCATTAATATGAGTCATCTTTTATTTTTTACACATCAGCTTTTAATTATAAATGTCAAATGGGGAAAACACAATAGCCCATGAGGGATGACCCATATGAATTTGAAAATCTATTTCACAAGTTAATAATATATTTATTATTTAATTATATATATTATTTAATTTTTTTTACATATTGATTTTTACTAATACTAACTTATTTTGTTATTTTATGTTATTTTTCCATGAAATTATTTTATTAGTTATATATACTCCAAAGTTTTTTTCCGCTAATTTTTTTAATCTTAACTCAAAATATGAGTGGATAATAGTATAGTGGATTAGCTAATGGTTTGAGTAAGTTTTTCTCTTATTTTTTTGATCTATATATGACATTGAGGGTGAAGAGTACGTAAGTTCATCAAATTTTGGAGGTTCTATAATCCCAACATTACCATCTATAAAATTGGTTTAGGAAAGATTGTTTACGGATTGTGTGAGTGATGCATTGTTGAGTATGTTGGTTGAAAATGTATTTTAATACTAAGAGTAGTTGTTCATTGTATGAGTAAATGATTAGATAATTAAAAATTACATTTATCAAAATATAACATCAAATAAATCAAAATAAAAAGAAACCGGAAAAACCGAGGCGTAAAGCGGGTGATTAACTAGCAACAAGAACAATCAAAATAATTTGTTATTAACAACTTTTAAAACAAACCCACGCGTAGCGTGGGTATTCATCTAGTACATTACAACACATACTTTACAAATCCGGTGAAAACCCTCAAATCGTTAGACGGTGTTACTGTTCCGTTAACGGATGCTGACGAGGACGACACGTGTTCATTTTAAACGACTGTGTTTTGGTCCAGCTGGACTCTCATTAGACAACGAGACAAAACGACGTCGTTTTGATTTGCACAAACGACGTCGTTTTGTTATTTGGGCATTTACTCGAATTAGGGTTCGTCATTTTATTTGTAGAGCAAAATCGAGTCGTCGAAGAGATATTGAGACGAGAGACATAGTGAAACAAAGAGTGAGGATTAAGGTTATGTACTTTTGGATTAAGGTTTTTGAGACCAAATGAGACTTCTGTTTTCTAATTATGGTTAAGTCGACTTCTTTCTCTTTGATTTCTCTTTGATTTATCTTCTTCAATCTTCAAAACGACGGACCTCCTTCTTATAAATAGCCAAAAATCAGATTGAAATCAGATCTATCCATCAATTGAAAGATCACAGTTCCTGGGTTCGTGTATTGACTTGAATCGTATGATAAGAATGAATTTCTTATTGATTAATTATCTTGGCCGTAAGCCTTACATATAATAAAGTAACCCAATTAATTGACTCGACCGGTTAACAAAAGCAGCGACACTATTAAACAGGGAAGAAAATTTAAATCAAATTGCATAAAACATGAATGAAATGCATAAACCCATGTTACATATATTCGTAATGGGAGCCATTCAAGTTCAAAGAGGATTACAGAGAAGATTGGAGAAGACAACGTAAGGAGAGAGAAATAAGTTTTCTTTTGTTATTTTTAATTTATTGAGTTATATATACTTTTTTGAATATATTAGTAACCAAAGTTCCCTTAGATCAGTTGGTTCTGTGTTGGCTATTGAATGCTTGAGGTCGTGTGTTCAATTCCAAAATGTTAGTCTTAGATTTTTTATTTATTTAGGGACTAAAACGACGTCGTGTCATGGCATTACGTGGCATTTTAAACTGCAAACACGGCATCCTAGTCAGCATTTGTTAACAGAATATTAACACCATTTACCGATTTGTTGGTTTTGACCGAATTTCAATTGTTTGTGTAGTAAATTCAAATTTTAGTTAAGTTCATGTATGTATAAGCACAGAAGAAAGTTCTGTGTATGGAAGCGATAAAGCAACTTAGTTCAGGGGGGAATAGGCCGTTTTCCCAGCTTTGACATACTCAAACTTGATGAATTGACTTCCTTCAAGACCACCTCGTACATGTATCTTTGTTACATTTTCATGGTCGGCTCCATCATCCCATTGATTCCCTCCACTTCCACCTTTTGCTTCCAACTTTTGGGCCATCGTGAACTGTTTCAAATCATTATTCAATAAAAGAGATGTTATTTTGTTCCTTAGTTAGTCATTATATAATTTCTTTAAATCATTACCCACTTGAGAAAATAAGCAAAATCATTTTCAGAAGCAAACAAAAGACAGGAGTACGAGTAGAGAATGAAGAACCCTATTTCTTGGGTGAAAAATGAAGACCTTAAACATTTAAAGATGTTTTAAAATTAGTTACAATACTTTTACAAGGTGGTTTCATACTATTGAGAGAGATTACCTCTTATGCTTGGAGTAGAGAGAGAAAGAGAGATAGAGAGATAAAGAGAGCTGATGAACAATGTGGAGAAAATGATCTATACACAGTTTTTAGTTTTCTTTTTCTTTTATTATCTAGAAGCGAATTTATTAATATGTGTACTTGAAAGAAAGTGTGTGTGAATAACAATGTTTTATGGATATTTTTTTGGGAAAAATGTTGAAAAAAGCGGGAACTTTCAAATTTGGGACGAAAAAAGCATGAAATTTTGAAATGTCATTTAAATCATAAAGTTTAGGTTGACTTTTTGACAAAATAGTGAAGTTTAGTTTGACTTGGCCATTTCGAGCATGCCGTTAAATTTCCGTTAACCAGAAGATCACGATGTTAAATTTCCATTAGAACTCTCTGTTGAATCAAAACAGCGTCGTTTTGAAACTCTGAAACGACGTCGTTTCATTAGAAAATAAAATACAAAAACTGCATCCACCGGATATCGAACAGCTGACCTATTGGTCTAATGGGAGGCGCTCAACCGTTGCGCTACAATAACATTTTGGTATTATACCAAACCGAACATATATATACTAACAAATAACTATGTACAATTAATTAAAACTATATACAATTAATTAACACTAACAAACTTAAAAAAAATAACCAAACATATACAAATATTAAATATACTTACCATAAATATATATTTTGAAATTTTAAATATTTAATTTTATATATAAAATTTGCTTCTATATTTGGAAAAAATTGTTTCCTAAATTATAAAAAAAAACAAAACTGAAACTTATAGAATATAGTAAATTAAATATATGACATAAAATTTATACAATCCTTCTCACATAAATATAAAATTTATACAATCCTTCTCATATAAATATATGATATATATTTATACAATCTTTAATCCTATAATTTATACAATATTTAATCCTATATTTATGTGAGAAGGATTGTATAAATTTTATGTCATATATTTAATTTTCTATATTCTATAAGTTTCAGTTTTGTTTTTTTATAATTTAGGAAAAAATAATTTTCCAAATAAAGAAGAAATATTTATATATAAAATTAGTATTTAAAATTTCAAAATATATATATTTATAGTAAGTATATTTAATATTTGTATATGTTTGGTAATATTTTTTTTAGTTTTGTTAGTGTTAATTAATTAATTGTACATAGTTATTTGTTAGTATATATATGTTCGGTTTGGTACAATACCAAAATGTTATCGTAGCTCAACGGTTGAGCTTCTCATTAGTCCAGTAGGTCAGGTGTTCGATTCACGGTGGATGCATTTTTTCTATTTTATTTTCTAATGAAACGACGTCGTTTCAGAGTTTCAAAACGACGTCGTTTTCATTCAACGGGAGTTCTAACGGAAATTTAACACCGTGATCTTCTGGTTAACGAAATAAAATAAATGAGTTTTTTGGCGGGATGGTTTGGCGAGACGGGTTTTTGAATCAACAATAATAAAAAGATTAAAATATCATTAATCCGCCGCTTCAATACGGATTTAATCCTTATTTTTTTTAATACAAATCACAGGACGGGTTAAGAAATTACGGAACGGGTTATATTTCGGAAATGATTTTATGGCGGACGAATTTGAATCAATATTTATATACCGCTTTAATACTGGTTAAATTCTCAGTTTATTAATAATTATCTCGTGGACTCGTGGTATACCGTTACTTAATAACAATTGTAAACTATAATATAAATAAATATGTTATAAGGAGATACAATTTACAAAATATTTTTATACTAACTTTAAAATTAAATCATCCCGCGGTGTACCGCGGGTTAAAATCTAATCTATACTAGTATTTTTGCAACACTTTGGTGACGGGTGGGTAAAAATGCTCTCGGGTTATTTGGATATCCGACCCGTTTCAAAAAATCCTTCACAAAAAAATTGTTGGGTCGGGTTATATTTAACCCAACTCATATACCGGATATTCCATATTTAATAATTTAGATATTTACAAGATTTGATTAAGATTTAGAATTATGATTCTCCTATCATCTTTGTTTGATTTGTTTTTAACTGATACATAAAGTTAAAAAAAAAATCAATTTTTTTCTACATATACTGTGATTCGAAATTTTAAAAACGGACATATATTATCTAATTGACGAAAATGTGTGTTCAACTTTCTATATCGATTAAAATATTTAGACAATGATTCAAAATCATATCATAAATAATATCAACATTAATAAAATAAATGAGTTTTTTTGGCCAGACGGGTTTGGCGGGACGGGTTTTTGAATCAACAATAATAAAAAGATTAAAATATCATTAATCCGCCGCTTCAATACGGATTAAATCCTTTTTTTTAATACCACCAATATTAGACATATTAAATTAGTCTCATTTAGAAAAGAATGTATAAACCAAAAATTGTCCCGTGGTATAATGTTACTTAATAACAATATTTATAAATTTTAAAATATCATTAACATGCCGCTTTAGTACATATTAAATCTTCAGTTTATTAAAATATAAATGTCTTAGAGAATGATATGATTTGTAAACTTTTATATATAATAAATAATCATTAAATTTTAAAATAAAAACAATTCACGGGACGGGTTAAGAAATTACGGAACGGGTTATATTTCGGAAAGGATTTATATGGCGGACGAATTTGAATCAATATTTATATATTGCTTTAATACGGGTTAAATCCTCAGTTTATTAATAATTGTCTCGTGGACTCGTGGTATACCGTTACTTAATAACAATTGTAAACTATAATATAAATAAATATGTTATAAGGAGATACAATTTACAAAATATTTTTATACTAACTTTAAAATTAAATCATCCCGCGGTGTACCGCGGGTTAAAATCTAGTTAGCCTTTCAGAAAGTTTATGTTATCTTCTTTTTTTTTTCACCCTAAATAAATATATTAAGCTCATCCAATATTCGGACCATACAACCTAAGGCAATGCTTAGCAAGAGTATCGGCAACAACAAAAAAATCTGACCATATCAGCTGCTCGTTGCCTCGTTACAATAAAAAATTGTTCTACTTTGATTTTTATATACAGTAAAACTTCTATAAATTAATAATGTGGAAACCGTGAAATTATATTAATTTATTGATAAAATTATTAATCTATAGATATATTTGACTAATTTTATAATTTTTTTTTAAAAAGCATTATGTGAAAAGAAGTCGTTGGTTATAATCAATATCTTTCTAAAATCAGTTAAAAGAAAAACAACAAAACTTTTTGATGTAACAAATATATCGGGAATAAACTCTATAAATAATTAATGCAAATTTAAGAAAAATAAACAATACTAAATGTTATATTTCACTAAATTTTCTAATATATAATAATTATATATTTGGTATTAATTTCTATATGATATATAATATAAATATATACTTTATATTCCATATAATTATTAATTTATGATATTGATGGATCATATATTTACATAAAATTTTTTAAAAAATTATCATTTTATTATTTTATCGATTTGTATCATTTTTATACTACTTTTAATTTGTAATCGGAAGAATTTTGTTAATTTATAGAAGTTATTAATTTATCTAGTATTAATTTATAGAAAATTTACTGTATATAGGATAAATTTTTTTTTTTTGATAAATTGTATAAAATAATGATGATGCGTAGAAGCAGGATATGAACGAAATATATTAACAGTTAAAACAACGCATCATGCATAAGCAACATGTGGAAAGATCATGTTCTCGCCATTACTATACAAACTTCATCTATACAGCTTTTTTAGTCCAAATTAAAGTCCAAACATGTGTATAAAATGCAGAAAGATCTGGAAGTTAATTAGTGAGAGGATCTTCAGATCCTTTAGAGATCTCGTATTACGAACCACTTAATTAAGAAGGCACCTCTACCACACCTCTTATAAATTTTATCTCACATCTCACAGCACAACAACCAATCCATCATCGAAAGTCGTTTTTCGGTAGATTTGTGATTGCTCAGAATAATTACTCTATACACTTAACCGAAATATAGTATATGCAAGACCAATTTACAAGAACCAATGGTATGCTAAGAATTTTTGGGATTCATTTTTAGCTAAAGCAAAAAGGTTGTTTGTTTGGTTTTCAAATTTGTAATTAAAAATACAAAATAAATCAACCATTAAACTTATGAATTAAAGACATTAGACTATAAGGTATTTCAAAGAACAATAACTAACAGAATAAATGAAACAAGGAATTCAGAAACGAAAAACCATTCTCAAACATGAATACAAGTCTAGACAAACTCATAATTCTTATCGATATTCTTGACACGTGTCGCAATCATATGAGATACTTACTTTGAAAATTATACTTTATATAATAAGATAGATAAATAATTTATAAAAAAATTATTATATTAATATATTTATAAATTTTTAATTGTTTTTTATTGTTAATGAAATAATATTTTTATCTACCTATTTATGAACTTTAAAAACAAAAAAAAATATTTTGAGTTCAGAAATTTAATTTTATCCATTAAATAGTGAAGAAATACATCAAATTTTTAATAAATTTGTTGTAACTAATACTAAAGTTTATATTTAAAACTTTTGAATCTAGTAAGAATATATATTATACATTATATATGAAATAATTTAACCACATTTTTTATAAATCTGTTTTTGTTTTTACTAAAACGATTTATAACTTGAGAAAAAATAGTGAAATAAGTTAAACAAATTTTTCAAAAAGGACACATCAAAAAACTTAAAAATAACTTAAATTAAATTAAAAAACACAGTTAACAT